GTAGGTAGTTGCCCCACAATAAATCTGAAGATTGGAAGTGTAAATCTAAAGGGATTACTAGACACTGGGTCACAGGTTACAACTATTTCTGAATCTCTTTATCGTAAGTGTTTGAGTGGACGAGAGTTAACAGATATAAGTGGGCTGCTTACCATTCAAGAAGCAAATGGCAGCATGATCCCCTATAAGGGTTATATAGAGATTAGTAACTTGAATGTGGCAGGTCATAGTCTTGACTTCCCAGTGGGGGTTTTAATAGTAAATGACAATCAGGGGGTACAGGATTGTATTGTAGGTACCAATGTAATCAATATGTTACCATCTGAGACAGTTAATCAGCTAATGAAAAGTAGCCTAGGGTCAGAGTCAGCTGAAAAAGTAAGTTGTGCAAGGATAATTAGAGGTAGGCCAGTTCTTCTAAAAGCTAAGTCAATGAAGTTTGTAAGGGCCACTTGTAACAGAATAAATGCCTCTGAGGTGTTAGTTGAGCCAAACATGAGTAATATACCATCCGGTGTTACTGCCTTACGCATTTTCACAAAGGTTGAACATGGTATTGTGACAATACCTCTGATGAATTCAAATCATGAAGATGTTTGGATAAAACCTAAAGTACCAATAGGTAGAGTAGAAGATGTTGATGAAATTGACAAAAGTAAGCTCAATGAGTGTCATATAGGAATTGTAGAACAGAGTGTAGTTGTTGGAAAATCTGATATTGTTGTCGGTGAAGAAGCTGATAATTTTTGGCCAGAGGGATTACCACCTCCTTCAATTAGTTTGAGCTCAAGTGAACGGTTGAAACTTAAGACACTTTTGAGTAGACATAGGAGTATATTTAGCAAGTCTTCCGATGATGTTGGGTATACAGACAGAGTACGCCATACTATTCCAACTACTGATGACAGACCAATACGTCTCCCACATAGAAGGGTACCACCTTCACTACAACCAGAAGTGAAAGAACATTTACAGAACTGGTTACTTAAAGGGATAATCAAGAAAAGTTCAAGTCCGTATGCATCCCAGGCTGTACTAGTGAGAAAGAAATGCGGAGGGCTGAGGATATGCATAGACTATCGAGCGCTCAACAACAAAACCCAGAAGGATTCATATCCTCTACCAAGAATGAATGAAGCCTTAGAATGCATGTCAGGTGCAAAATACTTCAGTAGCTTGGATCTTTGTCAAGGATATATGCAGTGTGCTATGGATGAAAAAGACGCACATAAGACAGCTTTCCGTGTTGGGACTGGAGGATTGTATGAGTTCACGAGAATGCCGTTTGGTCTTTGCAACTCACCAGCAAGTTTTCAACGGTTAATGGATGCAATATTTGGTGACCAAACCTATGAAACCTTGATTATTTATCTCGACGACATCTTGGTTTATGCCGCTGATTTTGATCAAATGCTGGATCGACTGAGTTTGGTGTTCTCAAGGCTGGAAAAGGAAGGTCTTAAAGTGAAGCCATCCAAGTGTTTTCTTTTCCAAGATAAGGTAAAATTCTTAGGACATATAATTTCTTCCAAGGGTATTGAGACAGATCCAGAGAAAGTCAGGTGCATACAGGAGTGGAAAAGTCCAAAGAATCAGAAGGAGTTAAGATCATTTCTTGGGACAACAAATTTTTATCGACGATTTGTCGCTAACTATTCACGTATTGCAAATCCACTGAACAAAATGCTAGGGACAACAAAGAAGACAGGACCTAAAAAGGAAGAAAATTTCAAATGGGATCACAAGTGTACTGAAGCATTTACTGTACTAAAAGAGAAGCTAATTACGGCTCCAATCCTTGGTTTTCCTGATTTTGAGAAATCCTTCTATTTGGAAACAGATGCATCTTTCAAGGGACTTGGGGCAGTGCTGAGTCAGAAACAAGAGGGACGTACAGTCGTGATTGCCTACGCTAGCAGAAGTTTGCATCCCAATGAACGTAACATGGAACGATACTCATCTATGAAGCTCGAGTTACTGGCTTTGAAATGGGCAATAACAGAAGCGTTTCGGGAGTACTTGATGTTTAATGAGTTCATTGTGGAAACTGACAATAACCCTTTAGTGTATCTGAAAACCACTGCCAAGCTAGGGGCGACTGAAACCAGATGGGTGTCCGAATTATCACAGTTCAATTTTGTCATCCAGTATAAATCAGGAAAGAAAAACACAGTAGCTGATGCCCTTAGTAGAATGCATGATGTGCCATCAGAAACAGATGTCCAACCATTTCTAGACAAGATGTCGGAAAGTACAAATGTACCGTTAGCCATTGCTGAGTGTAACACTGTAAAATCAGAAGACTTTACATCTAAGACTGAAGTGAAGGATGAGATGGAAGTAATTTCAACATTGCCTGAAATGGGATTGGAGGTCATGAGAACACATCAGGATAAGGACAAAGACATAAGTGTTGTGAAGGAATGGATGTATAAACAGAAGGAGAAGCCAACATATGCTCAATTCAAAGATGAGTCAAAAGATGTAAAGAAAATCCTTCGTGGATGGGAACGACTTTCAATGGATAATGGCATATTGAAACGAGATGTTATCTACAACTCAGAGAAAGCTTCTCAAGTTATACTTCCTGCATCACTTAGGGATACAGTACTCGCATCTCTCCATGACAGTGCGGGACACCAAGGAAGGGATAGGACACTAGCTTTGGTACTGTTACGATGTTATTGGCCCACGATGTATAGAGACATAGCAAAATATTGTGAGAAGTGCGAGCGATGTACAATGGCCAAATCAAAACCACCAATAGTCCGACCATACCGCACATCCTTGTTGGCAAGCCGACCACTGGATATCTTAGCCATTGATTTTGACAAGCTAGACAAATCAAGCAGTGGGAAGGAAGATGTGCTGGTGCTTACAGATGTATTTACCAAATTTTCACAGGCATTCCCAACAAAGGACCAGAGTGCAGTTACTGTTGCCAAGACTTTGGTGTCAAACTACTTCAATGTTTATGGTGTTCCTAAGAAGATACACTCAGATAGAGGAAGGAACTTCGAGAGTAATGTTGTAGCAGAGTTATGTAAGCTCTATGATATAAAGAAGACACGTACAACACCGTATTGGCCTCAGGGAAACGGACAGTGTGAGCGTTTTAACCGAACCATGCATGACCGACTTAAGACACTTGCAGAGGAGAAAAAGAACAAGTGGCATCTGTATCTGTCAGAGTTAGTATTCGCCTACAATGCCACACCACATTCAGCTACAGGTTTCACTCCATACTACCTCTTCTTTGGTCGGGAGCCCCATCTGCCTGTAGATGTTGTTTTATTCCACAAACAGGAGGATACTATGCCTTTGACTGAATGGGTCAGTGAACAGCAAGAGAAACTCTTTACTGTCTTTAAGGTGGTCAATCTTAATCTGAAGAATGAAGCCCATAAACGACAAGAGCGATTCAATAAATGTGCCACAGATGAAGATATACCCGTTGGGAGTACTGTGTTCCTCAAGAATAGATTTAGAGAGAGGCACAAAGTGAAAGACATGTGGAATCCCCTTCCTTACAAAATTATTAGGAGGATTAACCCTGATAGCAATGTTTATGAAATAACGCCAGTCGATGGTGGAAAAACACAAACAGTCAACAGAAGTAATCTGTTATACAAACAGCACTTGCAAGAACCAGTAGACGCTGTGAAGTCTGATAATGCTCTAGACTCACATGAGGAACAAGTAGACTCTGTGGGGTCAGATGAGACTTCTAGTGATTCATTATTTGGGATTCAGCCCATTACGGATTCTGATAGTGCAGGAACAAGTGAAGATTTCAAAAGTGAACAACAAAGGATTCACAGACCAATTATTGACAAGACACTTAATGTAGAAGATGAAGATGATCCATCGTCATCCTCTTCTTCAGATGTATCAGTAGTCAGTCTTAGACGAAGCAAGAGGCCAAATAAAGGGAGACATAAAAATCTGTATAACTTGCCAAGAAGCTGCTGCAATAAGTTGCAAGTACTTGAGCCTCAAGATAAGTTGAGTGTGTTAAAAGATGGTTTCACTAGACAATGCAACATCTTTGAGAATTATTGCGCAGCAATTACTAAACTAACATAGTTAATAGTGTAAAGTTACAGTTAAGTAAAACTTACAGTAAGTAGTAGTGTAAAGTTAGTTCTGAACTCAGTTTGGTAGATGTTAAGTCACTGTAAGTCAAGTTTGTAAAAATTAAGTCAATGATATCGGGACGATTCATAAGTAAAAGGGGGGCAAATGTGATAGTGCGGGAAATGTTTCCCGGGAATAGCATACATGTAAAGGTATTTTTGTACAGTGTTGGGCGGCCATGTTTAGTTTCCATCACATGTATTTTCAAATTCTGAATGAATTTTGAGACGATACCTGCATAAGCAGAGGTTGTACATGTATGTTATGATATAGGTATGTAACATTATGTTTTGAGCTATATTTTTATGCTACTTTTGTAAGAGACATTGTTATAAGATGTAACCAATGTACATTTTCATTTATAAGTATGCAGAATTATTTTGCATTTTCAAAGTTTCCATAAAATCTATTTCTACTCCTCATTCCGAGAGATTAACACAAGATTGGTCATAGTTATACAGTAAGATGGTATTTCTAATGTTTATTTAGAAATTCTTACATAATGCATGTAATGTTGCTATAATTGTATAAACATGAGTTTGACCTACAGTAATCTACAGAATCAGAGTTTGGGAATTAAGATTACAATTTTTGTATGTTTGCTATAAAAAAGGCATTCGATGTTAACACATCTTGTATTCCTGTGTTTCAGGAGTGTTTTTAGTCCTTAGTGACGTTGGAGAATAAAAACATTTAAAGCCGATACATATTCTTAGTTTTTGCGATTTCCCCACGTTCACATGGGCCTAATATTGCGTTTAACGGACCGACTCCCAAAACGGCCCCGAAACGTCCTGCTTTAACATTTTATAAGCAAATTTTCGTTTTACCGTCATCTCAACTGAGTTTGACTTCAGCCACCACAGACCGGAAGTAGTAATGGCGGCAGATTTCAAGCCATCGGAGTCGGAAACGCTTCGCTTTTTATCATTTTTGCCTCATAAGCTGAGACGGATTTTGATGCCGTTTCAACAAGAAGGTATACGATATGCCATAGAAAAGAATGGGAGGTATGTTAATCAGTTACTACGGTCAGTTAATAAATGATTCGGCATTAAACTCAGCAAAGTTTTTTTTAAAATCATCGACCGTCCAATGAAATTGAAAAGCTGGGTAGTTTAGGCTCTAGCATGGGCTTGATTCTAGTCTAATAGGATCATGAGATGATGAGCGTAAAATGCTCCTTCAAATAGCCCCAGTGAAAGAAGTTTGAGGTTAAAAATGGCAGAGGAACCACAGGAAACCAGGCCAAATGGTGTTTGTGTAAAAAAACGGATGACCAGGTAACCGGGTGACCGGGTAACCGGGTACCTAACGTTCTTAGCAGGGTTACCAACTTTCAACGTTCCACATTTCCCCCAATATATAGTAGCGAATTGACTTGACAGACTTAGCCTACCTTGTTTGTTTGTATCCTTATATGCGCTATAATGCCGCTAAATGGTCCCGTGTTGCTTGTTTTACACCTGTGCGCTTACGCTTGTGCTTCTCACTTGTGCTTACCGAGTGCACTGCTGTTCGATATTTTTACCCTATACGAGACAGAGCACTTTTTAAAATAATCGATATAGCAAACAGTGACGTCCATGTCACGTTGCTCATAAGTAGCATATAAGTTCCTAGAAGACGTTGCACATTTTCGTTCTTTACACATCGAGGCAACGTAAACATGAGACATCTATTGATTGTATAAAAAGAACGTTGTTGTTACGTGTCCGTAAAGTTCGTTAGTGTGGAAAACATAACAAACAGGAACGTTTGATTTTTTACTACATTGGTCCATATGTGACGTAACTCAAATTTTAATATCAAAATATTTGTTGGTGGAAAAAAAACATGACACAAACTTTGTGTTCTCACTAAGTCGGTTCATTTCCTACGTATTGTTGACGTTAAAATTTAACGTTGTCAAAATGTTTTTTCGATTTGAAATTACCTCAAAACGTGACGTCAATAATGACGTTCATGGACCGTATTGATCTGACGTTATTTAAATATTCAGCAAAACGTCGATGGATGGTTGAATTTCAACGTTGTGGAAATGGCTTCAAAATATTTGTTAGTTAAGGAAACGTTACAAAGTCTAAGATGTCAATATGTTCTCACTAAATCGGTTCATTACAGACATATTTTAACGTTAAAAGTTAACGTTGTCAAAACGTTTTTACGATGTGAAATAACCTCAAAACGTGATGTCGAAAATAACGTATCGTCCAGATCCAACGTTATAAATAAAAAGATCCTAACCCTGCTAGGAACGTTAAGTACCTGGTCACCCGGTTACCGGTCACCCGGTTTTTTACACAAACCCGGCCAATTGGACTTACCACAGTGTATATATCTTCAGATATTAGACTATACAGTGTGTCCCAAAAAAAAGGAAACTGGCAATAGATTGCTTATTTCTAAAATATGAATAATAAAAAGAAATTTTCACAGCTACCGTCTGATAGGTTATGATGTCCTTTATCTTATGATACCAAAGTTGTCTATTTTTCTTCATGGATGACTGAGTTCTAAGAGATTTAAGTGACCATATCAGAAATTGGTTTGTGCCACTTTTTCTGTCATGAATAGCTGAACAATGAGGGATTAAAATGGCTATGCAAGACCATGTCCCATTCGAAATACACATTTCTGAACAAGCATTCAACATAGCAAGTTCATGCAGCTGACCCAAACTCAAAGAGTATTCGTAGTAAGTGAGTGGCTCAGAAGTGGGAGCCTTCAGAAGAGTGATTGCCTTGAACCACGAGATTGAGTGGCCACCGAGATCCCCAGACCTGACACCCTGCGACTTCTTCATTAGGGGTTATCTCAAGGGTAAAGTCTTCACAACACCACCAAGAGACGTTGATGATCTAAGGGCCAGGATTGTCTCAGCAGTGGATGATCTAAGGGGACAGAGAGACATCATCAGGGATGCAGTACGTGCGATGAGATCAAGGGAAGACATTTGCATTGAAAGGAATGGGGGTCATGTTGAAGGACACTGGGGTTAAAACAACTTTGAATGGACATTGGGATTTAAAAGGGGTGTTAAATATGATATGTGTAATTTCAATTGGAATAAATTAGTAAAAGAGTGATATCCTGATGTTTGTTGTTACTTAGCACTTTGTTATGATGGTGAAATTGACTTGGCTGAAAGTGGTACAAACTCATTTCTGACATGGTCACTAGAATCCCTTATAACTCAGTCATCCGTGAAGAAAAATAGACAACTTTGGTATCATAAGAAAGAGGACATCATAATCTATCAGATGGTAGCTAAGAAATTTTCCTATCATTATTCATATTTGAGAAATAAGCAATCGATTGCTGGTTTCCTTTTTTTTGGGACACCCTGTATTATATTAGATATTAGATAGATGGTGCTGACTGTTGACTAATACCATCAAATGATTTCGCAGTTGATAATCCAAACGAAAACACTGTGGTCTCGTACCCCTTGTACTACTCAGGCACATGCTATCTATTGCAAGTCTTATGCCTGACACAACTGTCACAATGTTATTATGTGTTTTTAAGTTTCTCAAGGATCCTGCCATGACCGTGGTATTGTTATTGTGAAAGCCTGGTATAACCGTGACAATGCTATATTATATTGCAAGGCCTGTCATGACCATGGTCATGTTAAATCCTGATATGACCGTGACAATGCTTTATTATATTGCAAGGCCTATCATGACCGTGGTAATGTTAAAGTCTCATATGACTGGCAATGGTTGTATTGTAAGGCCTGTCATGACCGTGGTAATGTTAAAGTCTGATATGACAGTGATAATGTTCATATTCTTAAATGAGATTAGAATTACAGTTTGTGGAAATGAATTATGAGTTAAAGTAGTAGTACATGTAGTAGAAGTAGTCTAGATTTACATATTTAAGGTAGATAAACGATGAAATTTTCCATTTCAGTATTCTCATGCTACTAAATATAATTTAATATAACCATTGTCATAGTCATACTGTGCTTTAACATTACCACGGTCATGACAGGTCTTACAACCATTGCCACAGTCATATAAGGCTTTTACATTACCACGGTCATGACAGGCCTTGCAATATAATATAGCAATGTCATGGTCATATCAGGCTTTAACATTACCACGGTCACGACAGGCCTTGCTCTATAATATAGTATTGTCACGGTTATACCAGGCTTTCACGTTAACACTACCACGGTCATGGCAGGATCCTTGTGAAACTTAAAAACACTTAGTAACATGGTGACGGTTGTGCCAGGCATAAGTCTTGCAACAGATAGGGTCTCTACTCAGGGCGTACTTCTCTCCCATCATTCAATTTGGAACCAGATATCAAATCACCATTCACAGTTAGCAAACAATAACAATGTTATTGTATTGTATTGTATTTTGTTTACCACCAATGAAGGTGAGCAATACCTCTTGGGTATGTCCTGTATATATACGGTCATAATTTACGTAATTAACATGGAAGATAGACCCAGAAACCCCTCCTTGAAGGAGCCCTGTGTTCTTTTATGTGCACTTATACAAAGACATACAAGTACACACCACAGCCTTTTGTACGAGTTGCGGACCACTCAGTCAAACACCCTGAAGTACTTCACGCAAGCAAATTTAGTCTTGCCTGAACCGGGGATCGAATTCCGGGACCTATTGCGTAAGAGGTACCTGCGCTACCGCTGAGCTACACGGGTGGACTTTTGTGTTGGGCTGAATTTATGATCCCTGAAATCATTGTTACTCATGTTATGACTATCTTCGACTAGACAAATTAATACTATGACTGCATTTAATTTACATCAAAGTTAGCATTAACTAAAATTGAATAATCTTTTAAAACTTTAAATTGAACCCTTCAAAGACTGTATTAAGACCCAAGTACATGGGTACGAGGTTATTTATACAAAGCCCATGGATAGTGTGGGAAGTTCTCCATGATCTATTGTATTACCTAAATAAGTATGATGGAGAACTTGCAACTATCTGTGAAAAAGACTTTTTGGAGGGTTTTAGCTTTGCGCTGGATTATTGTTAGTCTCAAAGATTAAGACAGGTCCTTGTATCGAATAATTGTTCCCTTAAAAAAATTTCAACATTTTTCTCAGGGAACTCAGCAACTCAATTTTTTATACATGTTCTGGCAACTATGGACTAGTCTATGAGGTTACTATGAATTTAATATCACGATCGATGCCCTCCTTTTGGAATGAGGTCATTAATTGTCAGTATTCATGTTCCATAATATACTCATGAACATGAAATACAGGAGTGGTATCGATATGGTGTCTTTTACAGAATGTTTTCAATAATTGGTTTAAGAGAAAAACATTGTTGAATTCAGTTCACCATATCGATACCTATCCTTTACCAGTTTCCTTCTATTGTCAAACTTTAAAAAGTGGCTGCGCTTCCTAATTACAGTATTATGTTTTTTAAATTTTATCCACTTTTTAATTTTACATTGATCTACCTGATTAGTTAAATAGCCCTTATAATTTTGTGAACATCGAAAAATCAATCAGTGATTAAGCAACTTATATAAAATCTTGAATCACATCTCCCTTTTGAAAAAGTGTCTATGAGCCTGCAAGCAAAGCCAACCTGAAAAATGACAATATAGATACATTGGCCATTTACCTACCAGTATTTTCCAAATGCTATTGCAATTTGTTTCATTTTGGTATCAAAGACTGGAACTTTCTCATCTCAGATATTAACAATGCACTCTTCATTGGAATAACTTTTTTTGGTTACTGGGGAGGGGGGGGGGAGGTTCCTATAGCAACCAGTCCTTATAATCTAGAAAATAAAAAAATTAGAGATTTGTTGAATCTGTCCATGTGCAGTGTAAGATTAAATGATAATTTATAATGATTAGTGTTATATTAAACATCGCTTCATTTATGTCGATTATAATGATTATTTTACCTTATTTTCAGATGTCTCATTGCTGACGAGGTATGCTCTCTTTATTTACATTGAAGATAAACTAGAAAAAATCAAGTTTAAATGATTGAAGGTCAATAAGCATAAGGATGGATATTTCACATTTTTTGACACGAGTTGTTTATGTGGAGAAATAGTTACATATAATAGACTTCAGATCTCGTTGTTCATTGATGTCATCTTATAGAAGTGATTGTGTGTTTAATACACAATAGGAACATGAAAGTTACCCACACATAATATGTTGGAGGGGTTTCACTCTTGCATCTTATGTTAGAAAATCAGATTAAACAAAGAAATATTGAAAAACATCTTATATATTTATTTCTCACTTTTTAGACATATCAAGAGGATTCTTTTAGCTTGTCAAGCTTTTCATGAACTTGCTATATTATGTCTGAAAAATAAATAAATGTCATTTTTATGTGCCTCTCAGAGCATGTTCACATTCAAATCTATGTTTTTAAGATGGGTCTTGGTAAGACACTCCAGGCTTTGTCTGTGGCTCGCTACTACAAACATGATTGGCCATTGTTGATTGTGGTACCTTCATCATTGAAATACCCCTGGATAGATGAGATAGAGAAGTGGATGCCTGATGTTCAACCTCATGAAATAAACCTTGTGCATTCTTCAGTTGATGTCAAGTAAGTTTTTGTGTTGAATTCTATAGTTAAAGAGCTGATACCATGTATGCAATTTTCATCTACAGGGTGATCATTAAAAGTAAGATCAAAAGTGCTCTGTAAACATTAATGAATCTGTCTCATTTTCTCACAAAATATTGATCTAATAAGTGTACATACTAGTACATACACAAAATAAATTCCATCACGTAACATGTAAAATTCTGCATTCCATGGTAACCATGAAAACCCATGTTGATGATACCCGGAGCAGTCAAAAAAGAAAGGAAATATTATGATGTTTTCTTTCTTCGTGTTTTTTTTACTTTGGAAATGCCACCATATTAATATTCAATGCATTCTTGTACATTCTTATTTTTTTAGATACCGCTAGATAGTACATGTACCTTAATATTTTTAATTCACTATGATGTGGAATTTACATTTTCAATAAACCTTTTTTCTGAAAATATCATAGCCTGAGAAAGCAAGGAACCTGTTCCATTCCAATTATTTTCCATTTCATTCCAGCTCGTTCTCAGATATATACATAGAGGTTCTTATATGAGTACCTGTGCAAGATCGTTCATTCTTGATGAGCTTTGATAATTCTTCTTTATCGAGTCGTAGACGAGATAAAGAAACATTATCAAAGCGAGTCAAGAATGGACGATATTGCACAGGTACGAGTACAAGAAAGTTTTTCTCATATGACTCTGTATTATGCCATATTTTCACCTTTTTATGATAAAAATGAGTGAAAATTAGCTAGAAATTAATGGAACTTCATTTTTCAATTGCTATGACGTCATAACAATATTGAAGAAAATTCATGGATACGTGTGGCAACAAAGCTACATTGTTATGACGTCACAGCTAAGTTTTGTAGAATGAGCATGGATACGCATAACAACGCTGTACCCGTTGCCATGTTGTTGATGTTTATAAACCAGTGATGTCACAAGTAAATCTCATCTTGCACGTGTTACTTTTTAGGATGAAAGATGGCAATATCTTGCATGGGGCAAAGATGGCTGTATCTTTGTTAGTCATATGAGAAAACAATATCATACTTTATATTTATTGTCTTATAATCCAGTGAAATATCTGAAGCGAAAATCACTGTGGTTACCTATGGATTGCTACAGAGGCCAAAGAGTATACTCCTTGAGGCACTCATGACCCAGAAGTTCAAGGTCGTCATACTGGATGAGTCTCACTACATAAAGAACTCTAAGTCTATAAGAGCGAAGTGTATTGTCCCCATTGTGAAACAGGCTGAGCGTAGACTGTTGCTCTCAGGAACCCCAGCATTAAATAGGCCAGAAGAGGTAAGTCTTGTACAAGGCTTTTTATGGGATAAAGGATTTGTTACATTTGGGGGCCTAATATGGCATAATTTGCTTTATTACACAATATAATATTTGACTTCTTATATCACCGCTACAAGTTTTTGTGGATGGCGTTTGTCATTCAGCAGTTGGTGTTCAGCCCCTGTAACAGTTTACTATTACTGTCAGGGCTTGTAATTAAGGTTGAAAACATGATTGCCAAATTTAACATATTGGCATTTAGTCTATTATCTAATAAGCAACTTATATTTCCAAGTTCATTACCATGAGTAGAAAGTGATTGCCATTGTTATCTGACTCATTAAATGCTCCCATTCAATAATACTGTAAAATATCTCTTTTAGCTCTATTCCTAAATTGATGCCTTGGCTCCTGGTGACTTTGGTAGTTTCTACCAGTATGCAGTGCGGTATTGTAATGCTGGCTTTAGGTGGATAGCAGGCAAGAAACGTTGGGCAACTGAGTAAGTCTTTGGGGCTAAAAAGCCCATGTAACATAATTATTCTTTAATACTTGTAGTTATTATCCCATCGAACAAAGTTCGGAGGGATATAGGGAACGCCCCCCGTATCAATTTTGATATGCTTAACATTGTCCATTATAACTTGGACAGATTTGGCACTGTGGACTGTACTAGAATGTGCAACCCGCTAATCTAATTGCACAGCACAAGGAAAAAATTGCACAAAGGACTCTGCGGGAGTACATCCGTCCGTCCATCCGTCCATCCGGGCAATAACTCAAATACCGTTGGCCCGATTTTGTTCATATTTTGTACACATATACCCTATGGGGGTAGAAGTTCTGCTCGAAAGCCGATTTTCAAAATGGCCGCTCATTAAAAAATGGCGGCCATTTTAGTGCCGATTTTACAGTAATTTAGGTGCAATATGTAAAACTGTAATAGCAATATGTTTTAAATGTAAAAAAATTATATAGGACTTTGATAAAGCTAAAAATGTAGATAGTAAAGAAGCACATGGCAGCCATCTTGAAAAATGGCGGCCTTTACTCGTTATTTTACAATTTTTCCTGTAATTCAAGAAGAAGTGGATCGATTTTGTTCATATTTGGTATGTGAATACTATAAGCATGACTCACTGTCTAATGACACTTTTGGTAGGAGGCGGCCATTTTGAAAAATGGCCACCATTTTAACATATTTTACTATAACTCAAAAAGTAGTGGAGCGATTTTGTTCATATTTGGTATGTGAATACTATAAGCATGGCACACTGTCTAATGACACTTTTGGTAGAAGGCAGCCATTTTGAAAAATGGTCGCCATTTTAACTTATTTTCCTATAACTCGAAAAGTAGTGGAGCGATTTTGTTCATATTTGGTATGTGAATACTATAAGCATGGTAACCTGTCTAATGACACTTTTGGTAGAAGGCGGCCATTTTGAAAAATGGCCGCCATTTAAACGTAATTTACTCGGCCTTTACTCGCAATTTAACGATTTTTGCTGTAACTTGAAAAGTAGTGGGTGATTTTGTTCATATTTGGTATATGAATACTATAAGCATGGCACACTGTTTAATGACACTTTTGGTAGAAGGCGGCCATTTTGAAAAATGGCCACCATTTTGAAGTATTTTACCATTACTCGAAAAGTAGTGGAGCGATTTTGTTCATATTTGGTATGTGAATACTTTAAAAAAAGCATATTACTTCTTCTGATGACAACTTGGCTAGTGAGCAACCATTTTGAAAATGGTGGCCTTTCTTATGTGTGTTATTTTATGATATTTGCTCTATATTTTGTTTGTAAAAATGCCAGTCATTTCTGTTCAATGGGATTCGCTACGCTTTGGCATTGCCTTTGTTCTGGTTCATCATTGCATGGTCTCCTCAGCTGTCAGTATTGTAGCAACTTTGTCTGGTTAAGGGATTTTGATGCACCCACTTAAAATTTCACCAAGATGAGAAATTTACAAATCCTTGAAAATGTGGAAATATTTTCTCTAGTTGTGAACATTCTAAATGCACTGAATTGAGAAAAGTCCATTGATAGAAAACCATAATATTAAATCAATCTGATAGCAGCTTATTCAAACATTCCAACAAAAAGAACAAAAAAGTCAATAATAAAGCCATTGAATAAATGTCCCATTTTCTCTTGTATAAGATTGTGGGTTGTTTTAGTGGAGCCAGTAACCTACATGAGCTTGAAGCAAGACTCTCTACATCTGTTATGGTGCGCCGACTCAAGAAAAATGTTCTGACCCAGCTACCTCCGAAACGAAGGCAGAAAATCTCATTTGAACTGAAACAGTCAGAGTATACAAAGGTTGGTATTACTATCCTTTAATAAAGGCCCTTTACAATTTCTGTAAATGAATGTTTCTGTTTCTGTAAATGAACCTCATGCAAAAACAATTCTAAACTTAATTTTTCTTACTTAAGGAGGTTGATGAGCTGTGGAAAGAGATGAATCAGTCGAAGGATAAAAACAAGATTCAGCAGATAATGCAGAGAGTTGGTTACCATGGTAACAACAACAGTGGAGGAGACAATGACAAATACAAAGATGTCCGAGTTCTTGCAGGAAGCCTGTATACAATTACTTGTAAAGCTAAAGTAAGATTTCCTTGATTCCTAACATCAATCACTTGGTTTTTTAATCTGCTTTTACACTCTGAACACTACAGGTGAATTGAATATTTTTAGATGGGAGGTCTTTCAGCAGGTTTTCTGCAGCATAAACATATTTTGACCAGTTCTTTCATTTATTATTTGAAACCACTTGGCACATTACAAGTATTCAAGTATAAAATTTGCCCTTCCTATTTGTGCTCATTTTAGAGATTATTAGTACAGTAGTTGTAATATCTATCAACAATGATAACATTCTCATTCCAATGCTGCCTCCAACTTATGCAAAAATTGCTGATTTCTGTTCAGATAGGTCCAGTGAATGACTACATAGAGGACCTACTGAGAAATGATGGCTTGAAGTTCATTGTGTTCTGCTACCACCATGACATGATGAATGGGATATCATGTATGCTCAGAAAATCTAAAGTCAAGTTTATCCGAATAGATGGCAGTGTTCCCACTGAATTAAGACATGTAAGATTTGTGATTTTTAGTACATTCATATTTAGTAATTATTATCCCATCGAAAGAAGTTCAGAGGGATAAAGGGAACGCCTCCGTCCGTCCGTCCGTACGTCCGTCTGTCCGTACGTACGTCCGTCTGTCCTTCCGGGCAATAACTCAAATACCGTTGGCCCGATTTTATTCATATTTTGTACACACATACCCTATGGGGATAGATGTTCTGTTCGAAAGCCGATTTTCAAAATGGCCGCTCATTTAAAAATGGCGGCCATTTTAGTGCCGATTTTACAGTAATTTAGGTGCAATATGTATTGTAAAACTGTAATTGCAATAATAATTATGTTTTAAATGTAAAAAAAATTATATAGGACATTAATAAAGCTAGAAATGTAGATATTAAAAAAGCACATGGCAGCCATCTTGAAAAATGGCGGCCTTTACTCGTTATTTTTCGATTTTTGCTGTAACTCGAAAAGTAGTGGAGCGATTTTGTTCATATTTGGTTTGTGAATACTATAAGCATGGCACACTGTCTAATGACACTTTTGGTAGAAGGCGGCCATTTTAACTTATTTTACTAAAACTCGAAAAGTAGTGGAGAGATTTTGTTCATATTTGGTATGTGAATACGTATAAGCATGGCACACTGTCTAATGACACTTTTGGTAGAGGGCGGTCATTTTTCAAAATGGCCGCCATTTTAACGTATTTTACTATAACTCGAAAAGTAGTGGAGCGATTTTGTTCATATTCGGTATGTGAATACTGTAAGCATGGCACACTGTCTAATGACACTTTTGGTAGAAGGCGGCCATTTTGAAAAATGGCGGACATTTTAAAAAATGGCTGCCATTTTAAAAAATGGCTGCCATTTTAACGTAATTACTATAACTCGAAAAGTAGTAAAGCGATTTTGTTCATATTTGGTATGTGAATACGTATAAGCATGGCACACTGTCTAATGACACTTTTGGTAGAGGGCGGTCATTTTTCAAAATGGCCGCCATTTTAACGTATTTTACTATAACTCGAAAAGTAGTGGAGCGATTTTGTTCATATTCGGTATGTGAATACTATAAGCATGGCACACTGTCTAATGAGACTTTTGGTAGAAGGCGGCCATTTTTCTAAATGGCCACCATTTTAACGTATTTTACTATAACTGGAAAAGTAGTAGAGCGATTTTGTTCATATTTGGTATGTGAATATTATAAGCATGGCACACTGTCTAATGACACTTTTGGTAGAAGGTGCCCCTTTTGAAAAATGTTCGATGGGATTCGCTACGCTTTGGCGTTGCTGTTGTTCTGGTTTCAACACCACAAGTGGTGACATATTGTTATGGTCTTTTCTGTGGATAGTGTTTAGCATTTGGCGGTTGGTGTTTGGTGGTCAGCGTACAACTTCTGTAACAAATGGTAGGTGGTGGTATTTTTCATTTTAAAGTCTTGCCTTCACATATTAATTGCACTAGTTCTATTTCAAATATTTGAGAACATGGGGTCTGGTCAAGCATTTCATCATTAATGTCCTCTTGTAATTTATAAACTAAAAAGTCATAGAAATCATTAAAACTAAATTGTTTCTGCAAAGTCATGATGAATATTATTTATTTGGAAAGGAAGATCACGCTGTGAAAAGTTGACAATTGGATTAAGGAGAAGGTGGAGGGCTTTTTGTGTAAAAATGGATATAATTTATTGAGTGAGCGCACGATTCCTAAAAATCTTGGTTTTCACTCAACTTTCAATATTTAAACAGGACAACTAAAATCACTTTCATAGGTAGTCAAGTTTTACATCAACTATAGTATTCTATTTATAACACTTTAGCGGGATAAATAGTGTAAAGTAATCGCCGTTTGCAGAACAAATCGTGAAACTTTCCTCAAATGATCACTGATTGCTACTCTTCAAATAAAGCAACTGTGCCAAAAAATCGCTCCATAGGAACTACCCTAATTTTACAATTCTTACCCCCCCCATGGTCACGGAGGGGGGGGGGGCTAAAAAATTTGACACAATTTTTTTTACTAAATTATGCTCATACTTCAAATTTAATATTACCTTATCATGTTAAGAAGTTAATGTTGAAGTAAAAATATGAAATACCATTGATTTTCGATTGCTATGTTAAAGGGTGGTGATGGGCGACGCCCACTTTTCTTGTATTGAATATTTTGCACCATATCACAGTAGCAGGAGTAAATCAAATAAGTGATATATGATTTTAAAATTACATCTATATCTAATGCTTCACATGACTATTATTTTTCACCTTTTTCACTGTTAAAGGCTTGTTTTGAGTCAAACCCATCTTTTAGATATTCAGAAAAAATGGTCGAAATGGGTTGACTTGTGGTTTCTTTTGGCTTCTGAGTGCAGTTAGACTCCATATATCAACTATCTATATCTGTTTCATAGTTCCTTTAGATCACTTTGCACACATTTTTAAATCATAGTTTTATTAATCTTATGGAAGGATTTATACTAGTGTCTATCAGTATCATAGTTACTTTTTGGTATGTTGCAGTGTCCTTATGAAGAACAATTGCTATCACACACACATAATGCTGTACAAACAAGATTTCCTTTCAGGCACTTGCATCTATTGATATGCATTGGTTTTTGCAGCTACATTTATGAGAGCCTGGCAAGTGTCTGATGCTTGGGGTAAGGTTGTCCACCTTGGTATCCATTTGGTGTCTACAAATATCCAGCCTCACTCAGCTGGGGAAGGAACTTGAGGATTCGCTGTAAGTGGTTGCCCCCAAATAAATACAGCTTGGTATATGACTCTCTTCATATGCTGTAAAAAGGCATCTGATGTTGGACGAATGTGTGATATTATTGAAGTTCTCTTTGTGAACATCTCCTTCCTCGCAGTATTGATTGATGTTTCATTGCTTGTTTTAAGTTGGAGACCAGAATAATGAACAGCTCTAAAATAGGCATCAAGCAGGGTATTGGATCGTATTGAGATTTCTGTTAATACTGTAGTCAATTCAGGGTAGGTACTCCATTGGTTCCAGGCTGATGTCTTAGACTTTCCATTAAAGCCTGATGTGGTGTCACACCCAGTCATAGCATGGAATATTGGGAAACACATGGCTTTCTGAGGAGTCATCTCATGGGCAATTTCGTGGGCTGGAAGGTATCTATAGGACTTTCCCTTGCCAAAGGTGAGTCAGCTTTGAATGTTAAGTTGTACTAACTGCCAGAACAACAATGTCTGAATCAACTGTTCTAATCGTCATTTTTGTGAAGCCTTTTTTCATTGCATCATATATGTGCAGAAAGATTCGGGAATCTGCCTCTTCATGGGATGATGGTGAAATCTCAGAAACATGCTGCTTAGGATATGCCTCTGCAGAATTCCCAATTGTTGTAATCAGGATTTTATTCTCTGGTACTGGAATGGCTGAGACATTTGATGCAAGGAAGGTAAAGAGATCACTTTTCTTGTCATCAGAGCGTAGAAATTCTGGCCAATTCCCTGGCAATTTGTTTTCTGGATAAACTATTTGACGCTTTCCAGATCCATGCTTTTTTCTTGTTGAAGATTTGACACTATTTGGTATATATTGATCCCATACAATATTAAGTCTTTGTACTCTATTAAGTTGATCTGCAGTATACTTATTAAATGAATATGTCATTTGAGTATTGTAGGAAGGTTCTTGCTTCTTGAGTTTTCAGCAGGTGGACTATTACGGCACCATCAAGAAACAGGGCTTCAACATCTGGTGTATTGATCTCTCTATTTGGAAGGTCTTCCACTGGTTTTAAGATATTTGCTTTGAGTCCAGTCTTGATTGTGCCATCTTGTGAAAGGGATGGAGGGAATGCCTGGTTCTCATGTCGGAAAAGTTCATCTAAGTTGCCGTCTCTATTCTGGCACATTATGTCTAGTTGTGAAAATAGGGCAGTGTCATTTTTCAAGCTTGCTAGCTTTGAACTTGACTTAGATTTGTTGGAAGATCTTGAAATTGTTTCTCTTGATAGGGTCTAGTGATGGCTTTTGATCTTTCAATAATTCTCTCCTTATTATATATACTTCACATTGACTTTTGCCCCTTTTCTCAATTGTGTTCAATGTGTCAACTGCACTGCTTGACATTACATCTCTAGTATCAAGTGTTGCAATAAAGGGGTTTCCTAAATCATTGATAACTTAAGTAAGGGAATTGACATATTTGTTGAAACTGGTTTGATAACTAACACTGTGCTCATGGTTTGCAAGGACCATCATTATTCTTCATCTCATCCTCAAACTCAGTTAACAATCTTGCGATCTCTGGACCATCGACCATCCACTTCTGTAATGCGGTTGGATTGTCGAACAACCCCACAGCTCCACCCTCACTTTTGATCACACTATTATTTTGCTCATGGGCTTGGTCTATCGACATGGAGGAGATACTTTTTCTTGACTTGCTGACAGTGAAATGCCCCTTCATGAAACCATTATGAACTTCAGGTTGGGTTTCTTTGAGCTGAACCATATCACTAACATGGACAGGTACCTAGCGGGCATAATTGGTATGATCCAGGGAGACAAACCATGGCATGATTTCCATGATAGTTTCTTTGTAGAGTTTAAAGTCCCCAAGTCTCACAGATCTAACATTTGTTAGACCCAGAACTTGTAATTGGAGTACCATGTACCAGAATTTGAATATAGGCGACCCTGTTTCTTCACTCTGCTGTGTATCTATCAAAGATTCAAAATCAAGAGGCAAAATTGTATTGATTGGTAATCTACCTGAAATCTACCCAAGTAACAAGACCCCCTCCCAATACACATAACACTCATTCTTAATTCAAAACTGCCCTTATTAGACCAACAATATCATATTTTAAAACATAACAGTTAAAGATGCATTATGCCATAGGTTTCTCCCCCAGACAATCAATGATGTATATCTTGAGAATAACTTTTGGGTATATCATTGCCGAAATATCGGAAATAATCAACAGAACAACCAAACTCCAGAATTAAACACAATCGATTCCTCAGCTAGCGAGAGGAATCCCCATTGAGTCACACAAGTGCCCACAAGTGCCTTGAACCAGGCAGCCAATCAGGTTTATGATTAACAAATTCAACGACCAATCAGATAACAGGACAACTTTCCTGGTATATTCACACTTCAGATTGAATTAATTTCTTCGAAAATAATTGGATCGGCCAGCACAATCGCGAAATTAACACTGAAAGAGGGGGATTTAGGACTTCTTCTTTGGTAAGTAGATGGGTATATGTGTGGTGAAACTCAATATGCAAAAAGTCCAGAGGGGTCTTGATTTTGCTATCCTATGGCATAGAGCCTCTTTAATCAAAATAAGCAGAACAACTTCTTGATTATTTTTATTAATCATGTAGGTCAAAATCATACTTACAAAAACTGATCTAGATCCTATCACAAATGTTGATGCTCATTGTCACTTAAGCATGACCTTGTCATAAACAAGAAGTGATTTTGGTAGTTGTTTAAGAAAGATACACTTTTTGCTAGATTATTCTGTATTTGCATTCAAGTCACTCATCAGATGTCACATAGTTTGTCAAACTTTATTTTCAATTAAAATTACGTTGTTTATCATGTCGAAGTACATGCCACTATGGAAAAGAGATAAAAGGAATTAATTAAAGATAAGTAAATATTCATTTTGCTAAAAATCTCACTCATTATCATGTGTATCATGGTAAAAGGTCCCAACATTGAAATTATGATACTATTTAATGATAATTATAAAATGTTATGGATGGTCATTAAGCCTACCCCTATAAATTTTAGGGGTAGGGGTAAAAAATGCGAAAAGTATATAAAAAATGGAGGAAATTTTCGGCACAGTTGCTTTTTACACCCAGGAAGGTTGTCTGGTCATATATGGAAAGTTCCACGATTTGTTCCGTTTTCGGCGCTTTCATCCTTTTTTATGTCACTATTTATCTCGCTACTTTAGGAACATTCATTTCTGGTTTTGCACAAGATAATTCAAAGATAAATATTGCAAGTATTTAAAAAATCCACTGTATTTAGATTATTTTGTCCTAGAATCACAATTTAGGCACTCTAAGATAAACATAATTGACAAATATACATAAGGATTTGAATGGAGTTTTTAAAACTTTTAAAAATAGTTCTTTGTATTGTAGGCTCATGTTGCACAGTTCCAGAATGATAAAGCAACCAGAGTTGCTGTACTAAGTATTGGAGCATGTGGCACAGTAAGTGAATCTATCATACAAACCAAGGAAGATTATTTTCCAATCCAATTTTTTAATTATTTTCTGACATTATATACTGACTATGAATTCAAAATCAGTGATCCAAAAGATTTGAAGTAACTGAATATTTTGATCACTTCTTGTGTGTTTTGAATTTTTTGTTTGAAAATAAGATGTGAAGTGAAAAAATGGCGGCCAGTTGATTTCAAATTTTTGTAATCACATCCTTCAAGATCGGATTCATTGTTGGAAAATATTGCATTCTGGGATCCAATCCTCCTTGATACAAACAGAGTGCTCCTTATTGATATGTAAGAGTTTTTGCTTTATGAAAATTGATAACAGATATTCAGCTGAAGTGATGGTTTTGGAATCATTCAAAATCAAGTTTTAGTCCTATTTTTTCCAGTCTGTCTGTGTAGAATTTGTCCATTCTTTCATTCTGTGCCACTGTGAACACATTCTTCCAGTCGTCTATGGTACCTGGAGCAATTGTTCAATTCAGTTTCAGTTTAATTCATAACATTCATACTCAATGATGAACAAAAATGGAGCAAATAATATCAAATCGTGCAGGATTGCAGTTCTTGGGACATGCCATTGTATCCTCTATGTGAAATATCAACCTATCGTGTGATGTTTCACTCTCAAAATGTCAACTGTAATGAAATCAATGACTAGAAAACTGTTAGAAAAGCCTTTAAGGAGCACAAATAAAAATAGAGGATCATAAAGTACCTTTACACATGTGTGTCAGTTCTGTATTTTTGTCAACCTTGGCTCCCTGTTTCATCTTTCCCAAGGCATCTCCTGTCGCTTTGCTTTGCTTCATGTTGTCAAACTTGAGGTAGTCAGCCATTTTATGAATTCTTTCTTCTGGAATATCCTTGTTTAAAAATTCAGCAACTTCCTTAAGGACTTTAGGCATATTCTGAAATATGATAGTCCATATATGTATGATGATGCTCGCAAAAAGTTATGAAATCATGTAGTATGACTAATTATTGATATTTTCCCTAAATATGACATAAACATGTTAACATAATGGGTTAGAAGTGTGATGGTGTAAACTATACATTTTAAAGTAAGACAAAAGTTGACATTACCTTTATCATTTCTTCATATACCACAAACAAAATTTTGCCTTTAAGTTCATCTTTGTGAATCCACCATTGCTCTATATTATTCATCCATGGCCCATAGTGTGCTAAATCATCAGAGTTTCAACTTTCAATCATCAATGCCCAGCATCAAGACAAAAGCGTAAAATGGTGGAAAGGTGAAATCATAAACTCTATTTAAGTAAGCAGTACAGGGTTATCCTTTTAGGAATATAACTTATAAAATTTAAAACATTCATCAATTTTTAAAAAAGTATTTTATTGATTTTTATTTCCTTCTGGAGTTTATCAATAAAGGTTATTAAAGTACAGCAAATGAAAATGTTCTTACTTCTGTAAAGTTCATCAGTAAGTTGGCAGTCAAGTACTAGATCCTGGTCAGGTTTCTTGTCAAATACTGCGTCCATTGCGGCTGACTGGTTAAACTTATAGAGACTGGCTAATACTGACTTTGGATTCCTCAGTGTTACAATCACCTTGAATAGAAATCATTGCAATTATCAAGTCTATGAAATTGATCTGGACAATTTCAATTCAGGACTGGATTAAGGGTTGGATAAATGTCCTTGTTTGGAACCTTCAAATGGAAAATCTGACGAAATTCACCAATTTTGTTTAACACCCTGAGGTGTAAGAGGGATTCAATGCACAGTTCACTCGAAAAGGACTGCTGTAAACTGCTTGACAAAATATCTGATGGGATTTGCTACCCCTGGCAGTGCTGTTGTCTAGTTCTCACATATACAGGTCTAATGCCTACCTTACATTTCCCTTGTCGGACATCTTCTGGAACATTATCATAGCCTAGATGTGTTGAGAATAAACGTGGAGACTCTACTCTCTCAGCTTCGTCCATAGGATTCTCTCCCCATTCTCCCGCTAGGATGTCTAAGGTACCTGCCCATGCTGAAAATATCATTTTGGTTTTTGGTTGCATAACAAACTTCATATGGGTTTATTTAGGTACATGTACACACCAATTGTTTTTAAGGGTGAGGGTTTTATGATAAAACAATTCAGCAGTCCTTGTAGTTTAATCTATTCAGTTTCTAAATGTTTTTACTGTACAAGGCCCCTAGATTTGGATCCTTGGAAAGAGTGAGCATTGACTCACCCAAGCTTTATTTAAAAAGCTTTATTTAAAGCAAATTCATGGAAAACTTGAAGACAGTCCAGTTTACTATATTGGGTGAATTTTCATGAAGAATGTGATATATTGTTGCTGGTAAGAGTTGGGATTCGGCGCCTGTAGCATCCTTCTGCAAAGGACTTCATTTATACTTAAATTCAGTTATTGGAAAGAAGTTAAATACTCCCTACACTTCCCTAGCAATTTGCAATAACTGATCAGTTGCTGGGATTTGAATGCATTGTTATCTCTGCAGCCTATAGATGTTATGCCATTGGCAGTCACGGTTAGGAAGTTTGATTGTAGTCGGTGATATATAATATATCATACTAATACATATACATGTGTATCTCATACTTGAGTGGGTTTGGCGTAGATATCACCGGGGAATATATATCATATCTGAGGAGCGGGCAGGATATATTGTATATGTCCCACTCCAGGCCAAATGTGGGCAGATATAATATATCCTCCCGGGAATTTTTCAATAGTTTAAAAAAGTTTAAAAATTAAAAAAAAGATTAAAGTTTGAAGTTTTAAATTTTGAGAGTTTACATCTACCCCAAACCTACTCAAGCATGAGATACACCAGTTATGTACGGTCAGTTTTGGATATAGGATATATCTCTTGGGAAATATTTATATCTCCCCTTGGTCCCTTCGGTCCCTTGGGGAGAAATAAATATATCCCTCAGGATATACTCTTTATCCAAAACCTCCCAGTACATAACCCTTATATATTATGTATGTTCATACAAACCTGCTTTAGAGTACTCCAACCAACTGCTCCTGTAATGTATAAGTTTGATTGTAGTTTGGTGACATATGTATGTTCATACAAACCTGCTTTAGAGTACTCCAACCAACTGCTCCGGTCATGTATAAGTTTGATTGTAGTTTGGTGACATATGTATGTTCATACAAACCTGCTTTAGAGTACTCCAACCAACTGCTCCGGTCATGTATAAGTTTGATTGTAGTTTGGTGACATATGTATGTTCATACAAACCTGCTTTAGAGTACTCCAACCAACTGCTCCGGTCATGTATAAGTTTGATTGTAGTTTGGTGACATATGTATGTTCATACAAACCTGCTTTAGAGTACTCCAACCAACTGCTCCAGTCATGTATAAGTTTGATTGTAGTTTGGTGACATATGTATGTTCATACAAACCTGCTTTAGAGTACTCCAACCAACTGCTCCAGTCATGTATAAGTTTGATTGTAGTTTGGTGACATATGTATGTTCATACAAACCTGCTTTAGAGTACTCCAACCAACTGCTTCTGTCATGTATGTTTACATTCTGAACAGCTTCTACATCTCCTTCCTTCATAACTAAGTCTACCATTGCTGTAGTCCAATGTGTACCTTGCATAATAAAAAAAAAAAAATTTCTATTTCTTAGAGAGTACAGTAAAACCTGTATATGTATATATTGAACAGTTTTTGCCAAAAAGTGTTCAGTGTTGGTAGGTGTTCGCTACAAAGAGGGTAATTCATACAGAAGTCAGTAGAGTATATGCGAAGGATGGGTGTACACCAGAGAGAGTTCATTAGAGAGAGAGGTTCATTGAGCTCATGAGACTTCTATAGTCTATAGAGGTTCTATATATTGTTTATACAAGGTTATCTTACCAGATCGTGGGTATGAACTTATAAGTACGTCATCATCTCTCATCTTGTATTTGCTCATATTTCTGATAGCATCAAGGTGGTTGGTGAATGATACAAACATACGCCCCTCCACAAGAACAACATGATCTCTTAATAATGGAGAATCCTTCACAACTGACATATTAGCTGCTGTAGTGCTGTCCATGTCTTTTGATTCTGAATTGTTATAATGTTCCAGAATGTGTTATTAAGGTAGATCTAGAGTTAGATGGCTGAAAAAGTACTAAAAACTAATTATGTTTTTTTTTTCAGTTTTGAAATAAAGCATATGAGTGTATTTTTAGTTTTTCACTGAAGTATCCATGTTACATTTAGTATTAGGCATTTCATAACCAAATACAAGCATGTAATACTTTCTCAAAAACATGTTTTTACCCATGTCTTTATGTTTCATTTTTAACCTGAGAGTAATGTAGTATGCTAGAGCAATTCTTTCAAAATATGAAATTTGACAATCTTTTATGTTTGAATATTACTGAGATTTAAATGTACAATTAATAACTGATTCGTTAATATAAGGTGCTATATATTTTTTCTATTATTGAACATAACGATATATGTACCTTGAGGTGTACTGTAATAGAATAGTAAACTGTCTTGTGATCTATGTATAAATTGCCCTGTATCAGTACATTGGTACATGTACTATGAACTGCACACTGTATCTGTCAAGTATGTTCAGTTGTTCCTATCAGGTACCTTATTTACTCAAAGGGAGCATAAATTATGCATTTTTAAGAGAACTGGTACACAAGCATGTAATACTTACCAACAGGGACAAAAGGAAAGCCTCTAGTAATAAGGGTATACAATCCTTTTAATTACTCCAATTTTTCAACTTTATATTTCTAAGAATATTCAGAAAGCAATGGCGAATGCTCAATTTTTCAAATGGGTCCAGTTTATTATTTCTCAGATTTGGAAAATCTCTTCCTCTGGAACTTCAGATGTATCTACCACTCTGCCATCTTTCAATAGCAGAGAGACAGATTGGAGTGATCTCCCATAGTTAAAGCACAGGTTACATGTCACCCTTAGGAAAGTCTGTTTGTACCCTGTCAAATAACGTTAAATTAATTTTTTGCACTCTGATGAAGAAAAAATGTTTGAACGTTCATCCTGTCTTTATAGAGATTTATGTTTGTTGAATAAATCATGTATTTTAACATTGGGAAGAAATTTGGTAGGATTGAGTAAAAGATGGGGCTACTGAAAGTGCATACAGCCTCAGTAAAGCAGCTATTTATTTTCATAAAAAATGTTGTGTACTTTTTTTGAACTTTATGGCCTAGTACTATTTATTTCATAACTTAAAGAACACTGTTCAGTACTTTAATCAGCATTTGTATTGAATTCATTCAATTTAGATATATTATTGTGTATTTTCAGGGCATCACCTTAACTGAAGCCAGCTTGGTTGTGTTCGCTGAACTTGACTGGACCCCAGGTGTGTTAGAACAATGTGAGGACAGAGCTCATAGGATTGGTCAGAAACAGGCCGTCAATGTGCACTACCTTGTTGCCAAAGGTATATTGGATGAATGGCTGTGGTCAGCACTGTCTAGAAAGGTTAGTGTCACATGACATCATCATCGTCTAGAAAGGTGTAACATGACATCATCATGGTCTAGAAAGGTTAGAACCACATGACATCATCACTGTCTAGAAAGATGAGTGTCACATGACATCATCAAGTTCTAGAAAGGTGAGGGTAACACAATATCATGACTGTAAAGAGTGTAACATGACATCATCACAGTCTAGAAAAGTGGGTGCCAAATGACATCATGGTCTAGAAAGGTGAGTGTAACATGACATCACGGTTCAGAAAGGTGGGTGTCAAATGACATCATGAAAGTAACATAATATCAACAATGTATAGATCTTCCATAATTTTCTTCTGTTTAGTTTTTAACTTATTTATATGGTATATCAAGGTATTTTTGAAAGGTATGTTTTATACATGTATGTTCTAGATGACTGTGATCACCACCACACTGAATGGAAAGACGCAGGTATTGAAGATGGATGACCCCACTAGCCAGGCTACAGTGGAGAAACTTTCTAAGGCTGAGGCTTACATAATACCTGAGCATGAAGACAAAGAAGAGGAAGATATTGCCACTTTCTTTCAGTCCCAACAAGTATGTCCAAAATTATTATTCATTATGTTTTTTAGCTTCTAGTGTGAATGCTTGATATTTTTTATATTATACTGTTTTATTTTAGATTCATGAAAGAAGCAATTTGAGGTTTGATTTAGTAGGATTCATACAATATGAATGCATTTGTTTTTTTCCAATCATCTGTAAATCTGTATGTACCTTCTATCAGAACATGGTTTGGTCTTCATCTATTGTTTGTAGAATATCTCATATTTTACTTACTATTGACAATGTTATTTTATTTCTTCTATATTATTAATAAAAAACTGTTTATCCTATAAAATTATATCATATTCAATTTCAGCCATCTGGCCAGAAGTCATTATTTGACTACTTCACTCCAGGCTCTAAAGATAAGCAAGCAACAGTTATCAACGAAACCCCTACATCTTTACCCAGTATTAAAGTAGCAAAGAGAAAACGTCGCAAATTCAAGCAGATATTAAATGAAGAGGAACTTGAATCAGATAATGAGGTTGCTGGTGCAAAGAAATTTAAAATGGAGGATAATCAATCAGGAGTGAATGCTATCCAAGATTTGATTGGTAGTTCAAGTGACAGTGACCTTTCTGATAACACAGAGATCCTTTCCAACAATGATATGGATTCACCAGAGGTCACTAGTAATAGACAAGAGGATGGTGAATCCAATAACAAACAACATGAGCATCGGCCATCTATCTCAACACACAGCAATATTGAAGATCAATTTATAAATCTAGCTGAAAATCACATTCTTCAAGAGGAGTCTAGTCAATCAACCAATAGAAACACTGAAAGTTCTTTTGTCCTTGCCAAGGATAGTCAAGATGAGTATGGTTACCCTGATGATGACTGTGACATTTCATATGGAGATACACAGACCTCACAGGAACATGTCAAAGTAGTGCCAGAATCTCAAGATACCGATGATAATGATGAACTTATGGATGAAATTCACAAGTCGACATCAGATAAACTCCAAGCTAAGTCAGATCCTAAACAGTCAATAAATAATAAACAAAATGGAGCATTGGAAACGAGTATTGATGAAGATTTTCAGACAACTCCTAAATATAGTTTCCCCTCCAAAACTGTTGCCAAAACCCCCAAAAGCAGAGGAAGAAAAAGAAAATTGACACAGAACACCCCTGCATCAGACACCAACGACAAAATCAAAGACTGGAGCTGTCATATGTGCACATATCTGAACCATACAGATTTGCCCTATTGTGAAATATGCAGCACACCCAAACAAAAGACCAGGCCAAAGAGACAGTTATCAGGTACATATTGTACAGTATGCAAAGGTGAATGTGTCTCAGAGCATTCTCCCTCGATACATCAGAAAACCAAAAGCCCTAAAAATAGAATTTCTACACCAAAGCGTAGTCAGAATGAACTGAGTACTATCACCCCAAAGCATAACTCCTCTATAAAGTCCCCTGTTCAGACACCATGCTCTTCGAAGGTTTCTCACCACATGAACCATGTTAGCCCCCATGCTAGGATATATAGGAGCTATGTTGGTCCAAAAGATCCAAATCATAGGAAAATGGCAAGTAGTGGAGCTTCCAAGTGTTTGCAAGTTACTCCAAGTGCTTCACAGACTTTAGATGGAGCTGCATGTAGCAGTCCAGCTAACAATATTAAGGTTGATGGATCTGCTGCTAACTCAGCCAATGAGGCAATGGTTGATAAAACTATGAAACACCCTAAAGTGAACATAAAGAAAGATAGGAACTCAGACAAAATCAATGAAGATGATCAGCAGGATTCTGATGTTGAGATTAAAAGTTCAAGGCTGAAGCGTAGGAATTGTTTCAGGATTGGAGACCTCGACTCAGATGATAACCTGGAAGATAATTCCAGATCAGCTATAGAAGGCAAGAAGACTACAGCTGCTCTTGAGTCACTGAGCCAGGTCTTTGATACAGATTACAACAAGGATGAGAGCCAAGACTCAAGTGAATCCAACAAGGGTCACCATTATGATTCTGATACTGATGTTGAGTCATACAATGCTGACGATTATGATGCAAATGCTAATGATGCTGCCACAATAAATGCATATGATGGAGAATCTTATGCGAAGAAAAACCAGAAAGTTAAACAAATGGCTATAAAAGACTTTGAAAATAGTTTTAAGGACACTTCAAAGCCAATAAAGGTGAAAGCGCCAATTAATCTCACTACACAGAGTCAGGTTTGTAGTACAAGTGCAATATCATATCCATCCTCTAAGCCACAAGCCATTAAGAGCCCAGCGAAAGAGAAAATAAAAGCATCTGCATTTTCTAAGCTAGTTAAATCAGAAGGTAACTCAAGAAAGAAATTCAAGTTTTCTAAAATCAAGGCCAAATTGAAGTGCAATATTCCAGATAAGACCGCAAGAAGTGATAGTGACTATGATATTGAAAACATTTCACAAAACAACACTGATGTTGAGACTGATCTTATACAAGACTATGAAGATAACATGCCAGGTGATGTTCATCACAATGGTGCTAAAAGGGATGACATTGAGTATGTGATAGACTCTTCTATTGAATCTAAATCTAATCAATCTTGTGTAATTGAAGGGAAAAGTCAAAGTGGTAATGATATGAGTCATTCAGGAAATGACAAAGGAGTGGACAATATTGCAATTCACGATACAGATGAAAGTGAGCATAAGATGGATGTAAATGCAAGATCTCTTCCACATGAAACCAAAGCCAATAGACCACTCCCATCCCCCACCGATCATGACCCTATTCCCCCAAAGATAAGTGATCTAAATGCTATAATAGCTCAGAAAGCTGCAACTGACAAAGGTGATGCTAGTCCTCCACCAGCAAAAGATCTTGATGCAATAATAGCTGAGGAAACCGCAGCTGCTGCTCTTGTGTTCTCTCCTGGTTTCAGCAATGCGTCCACTATGATTGGATCACCCTGGGTATGCCCTAACTGCCAATGTGACAACAAGTGAGTAAAATATAAGCACAATTAAAATTTTGGCTCATTTATTTATTCTAGCAATATGATAATGTTTAAAAGCAGGTTGGCCAAGTAGGATGGCTTATTTAGATGGACCTGTATGTGTGTTTATTCATGTTGTGATCTTTATGCGAGCCATTAATCTAAAACTGAAACGGTATCTTCTCGATAATTGTACAGTAAAACCTGTCTAAGTGGAACACCTTTTGTGCCTCTAAAATGTACCACTTGGGAGGTGTTCCATTTATAGAGGTTCATTTAGAATTAAGTCAGTTGGTCTTGGGACTCTGAAGTGTTGCACTAACAGAGGTGTTTCACTTCTTGAGGTGTTCCACTTAACAGGTTCCACTTTATCTTGTAAAGTTTTTGGTAATTTCCTCGCTGAGTTTTATATTTTGTGTACTCTATCATTGACCTCCTTCAGTAACTGATCAGTTTTGGCTATATCTTGCAATGGCATGTAATTTGTTTATCTGGTTTCTACTAACATGGCATTTATCTTAATCTTACTTTATCACATTTTAATTGTTTAGAGTAAATTCAAATTTCAAATTTATTAGCTTTATTGTATTTCAATCCCCATCAGGGGTCATATACAAAGCATACAAATAACTACAAACTACTTAAGTACAAAAATGAAATATAAATGTGTAATGCCCACGGATGGTGGAAAGTCCTCCATATATTACTTAGATAGATGGAGGACCTCCCACCATCCGTAATAATGCCACTAGACAGTATGAACTGTGTGGGTAACTGATGTTTCAATTGTTTTTGCTCAGATCATACTCTCTAATTCATGTTTTTATTTTATTCTTCAAGGCCAACATATGAAGATTGTGATGGATGTTTTGAACCGAGACCTAAAGTTGAAGAAACTCCCAAAGGTAAATGTGATTCAGTATAAACTAAGTCTGTCTGTTACTATGGTTTCAGATTCAATCAAATCAACCACAACTTAACCACAATCATAATCACAATCACCACCACAATCATATCACCTTGAGCCCTCCTAAACAGTGTATTTTGAATAGAAAATAGTTTTAGGCAATCGTATTATTTTCACTGCAATTTTACAGATTGCACTGGCGGAAGAAGAAGCTGACAAGGGGGGGGGGCAATATTGCGCGTAAAGATTTTCGGGCCAAAATTCTAAAAATTTAACTTTTGAAAAATTAAGGCCTGTTTTTTTTGGTAATTTGTCTTAAAATGCCCCAAAAACCAAGTAATGCCCGAAAAGGCCCACTAATTTAGGCCCTACAAAGTTTTTTGCCCCTCCCTGGATCTGCCAGTGGATTGGAATCCTGTTTTGAGATACTGAGACATTTTCATTGCATTAGTTTGTCTAAGTGTAGCTTGTAGTTAAATAGCTTTATTTAATATAATTTAACAGAATTCTAGATTTTATTATAAATGACGACCTTGCTAAGAAAGTATTTACAGTCTATTCATGAACATTACTTTCGTGAAGATATCAGATTGATTGATATTTTATTTTAGTAACAGGTCATCTCAACACTAAGTCAACCTTGGTCAATAACACTGATTCTTGGTTACAATGCAACCAAAGTCATCTCAACCCTTTATAAGGTCATTCTGATTTCAGATCATTTGGATTAATTCATTCATTTGTCATTCTGTTGCTGAAATAATGCTCACTCCGATATCACTAGCTACATGCAGGGGTTTAACTAGAATGTCTCACAACAGGCTAAATAAATGAAAAACAGGCAAAATTAATGGAAGTCATAAATTTAGCATGGAAACGTTGAAAAGTCCCTAAAAACAACAGGCGATTCTGTGAAAACAACAGTTGAAAATCACCTGTTGCCTGCTGCTATTGAAACCCCTGTACATGTACTTCATTTTTTATATTTTTTATAAAATATGATCATGAGATACATTATTATATAGAAATTCTTATGTTAGTTATTGCATTTCACAAATGAATACCTGGATTAAGATGAAACTGAAGTTTTTTGTACTGACAAAGTAATAAAGATTCTCGTTTCCTGATGTCTTTTTGTACTGTTGTCTAGCACTCTTGCCATTCTGACTTTTACTGCCATTAAATTAACTGAATAACATAATAGTTCCTCACAGGGGATATGTGTAAAGTAAGATACGTATTATTAGCTCTTTAGAAGCCAAGTTATTGTAACAGTATGCAATTAATCTAGGGGAAAATTGACAATTTGACATTAGATAGACAGAATCAAACAGCTAGGGAGTCAGTCTAGAAACATTTACTTCCCTTCAAGCTCATAAATCATTGTATTTAAAGAACACCCAATGAATTGTAATTTTTCATTTTATTCTCTGAACTATTGGTTAATTCTAACATTATTTTGAATTTTTATTACATAAAGTAAGGTTTTGTTCATTGAATTGGTCGAGGTTGGTCAAATTCTATCTAATTGATTGGGTACTAAGATGGATCTCTAATATTAGGCCACACCTGGCTAATTTTTCTCAAATCCTTATTTAGGTATACAAAGCACTAAAAGCCACAACCTTCTAACTTACAAATCTGCCTACAAATAAAATGTTATACAATGACAGACAGTTTTGGTATTAATTCTTTAAATAAGACATTTTTCTGAAGTTCAAATGTCTTTTACTGATTGATAGGTGCGTATACGGAGTTGCCATGTATGAATCGTTAAGCATTTTATAGATTACTATTTAGCCACTCTAAGCACTTGTGTGGTCAATGAGTAAAAGTCTTGGAATATGATTAATTACACATGGTTGTTAAGTCAGAAACAACCCAATCTTAACACAGCTATAATTTTCAATTATGACACAAAAAGTCAGAATTAAAACCATGTGTACTTTATTTTCCAAGTGAGCTTCATTCCATATACAAGTCTACCCAATGGACCATATTTTTGATTGTTGCTATCATGAACTGACTTTGATCAAATATGTTTTATTCCATGGGATTTTCTCCACCTTGGAGTTGCTATTTTCTTACCTGGATCAAACAGAAATAAAAGTGCAGCTTGACTAGGTTAACTTGACTGATTCTTACATGAAAAACATGACGTAAGCTCCCATATTCCCATCAAAACACTCACCTTTATTTGAACATTTTATCTCATGTTATAGTAAGAACTTAATATTTGCTCTTTATCAGAGAGGTTTCGAACTGAAACGTTATCTAAGAGGACATATAGACCAAGAAAACTTTACAAGTTGCTAAGATATGAAAATACTATCTCCACCATTTATTTCTGTTTCTCCTTCATCGATAGGGGATTAATGATACTTTTCACTCATGAAAGTCTTGATGACTTGGGAGTCAGAATCGAAGGCTTCATTTATTTCAGTTTATCCCCCCACCATCCTTTCATCTTTTCATTAATTCCCATCATGGAAATGAAGAGGTTTCTTGAAGAACATGTACCTATGTTGGAAATTTTACACAAATACGTGTAGATGTATGTCAGTGTGACCTTTTTAGTTCACATATTTTATTGAGGTTTGGGTGATTAGTGTACTGATTAGCCATGCGACCATATTTGTTCCATTTCTTTGACCCTTAACGTGAAGTCTATTTTGTAATGCTAGCTTAATTTGATATTTCAAATTGCATGAAATTAAATAAGTATTGTATGGTTCAAATTTAAGAGTGTTACTTTCGTTAACATTCCTTATAAGATTAAAAAATTTGGAATGTGAAACATTCAGCATAAATTTCAAAGTTAGGTCTACCGTTTTTTCCACACTTTCAAAAAAGGGTTAAAGAATCTTGAGAATTATGTATTTTTCATTGTCAAAACTGATGAAATTAAAATTTTGCATTTATTTGCATGCAAAACCCTTGGAAGAGCACCATGTCTTTGAAATGTGTTTTATTGGGTAATAAAATGAATTACTTTATTATTTCAGATGAAGGGAGAGTAGTGAACCTTGACAAAGTCCCTGTTTACCCAGAATTCCGATATAGATGTAGCAGAAACACCAACAGAATCTTCCTCTATGATCAGGTAAATAGAAGTTCAACTTTCTTTAAACCACAATGAATCCTGTTTATCTGAACACCTTTCTAATCTGAACACCAATTGATGAACACATTTTCTCTGTCTGAGTTTTGTTGTCTCCCATTTACTCACATTTTAACCTCTTGAATCCCTCTAAAATTGGTTGAAACCAGAGAATTTTTCATTTTTGCCACCTTTTGACATTTTAGTATATATATTAGATGCTCAACTTAGTAAAATTAGAAGACAGAGATCATTTCTACACATTTTAAAAGAATTTTTGTGTAAATTGGATGAAAATTATTCAAATAAGAGCAATTTTAGCGAAAAATTTTGTGACAAATTTTCTCGTCACTGTGGGTTTTAAGGTCAATTTTGAGAAATCTTGTCACTCCAGGTAGTCAAGAGGTTAAGAAATTTTGAAATGTGAATACTTGCTAATGTTATTACTTTTGGCTGGTCCTAGTGGCATTTGCATTAGAGAAGTTTTATTGTATTATCTCAAAAAACACCGTAGTCTGATAATCTGTAATTATGAATTCGTCCCAATTATCGCAGCAAATCTGCAAAGATGTTAGAACCTAAATCCATTGAATTGGTCACAGAGGTTTCATCAAGTATTTCTGCCATCAGCCAAAGTTGAGGAAATTATAATTTTAACATGGAAAAAGTTGCGAAGTTTCTCAAAACGGGCAATTTTAGAAAAAAACATTGCCTGTTCATGGTAATTACCCCTGGATTAAATATTATGAACACATATATCATTCTTCTTGACCCTGTTACAATAAATTGGTGTCATAAAAATTGAAATTTATCCTGCATAATGCCTCTTCTGCATGCCTTATCTATTTGAAACTCAACATCAGAGGTTTCCCAAGAAATCTTGGAAAAGTGCCCTTGTTAATATTACTAAACAAATATCAAGGCAACTGTGGACCTTAGGGAGCATTATCATATTTGCTGTAATTCAATTATTTAATTGAAGTCTAAATTACTGTAATTTATTAGATTTCTTTATGATAGGACACGACTGATCTTTGACTGAACTTCAACAGTTGCGGCTTTTGAACATATAGGCAAATCAGAGGGCGCGCAGGGGTAATAAATAACTCCTTCATATCCATAGTTAGTCGCCTTGGGTGCATTTCTTTTAGCATTATTAAATTTATAAATTCATAACTATTGATTTTTAGCTTTGATGTTTTTATTTCCATGGTAACAACAATGGACTTATGAATATTCATAGCTAATAATGTTACAAGAATGCACTTTGGGTAAAAATTGATATTTACATGTACATTGTATTATCATGATATCAGAAGAAACCACATCTTGACTTAATTATTGCAGCTTCAAAATATCCTTTTGAATGATTTGCTTTTGAATGAAGTGTCTTGTTAAATGTCTGACAGAGATATCTCTAATTTTTACAAGGTTTCATTAACATCAGGGAATAAAGGCCTGTTGTTTTTATCAAAATCACCTGTTGTTTTGAGGAATTCTCAATACTTTCCTTATTAGAACTATAAATAATAAAAGACATTTTTAATAGATTGTGCCATCTTTTGATCCATCGGAGAAACCACAATATATTTGTTTTGCAAGATTGATGAAGATATTGATTGTAAGTAGCAATCTGTCCATGCAAAAATAGTATTAACTTATTGCTAATTTTGAAAAAGTACAACCTATAATGACATCATCAATCTAGCCAATATATTGTGGTTTCTCTGATGGACCAAAAGATCGCACGATTTATTGGAAATGTCTATTTAGCATGCTGATTTCAGCATTTTGCTTGCTGTCAAAAATTATATTGAAACCCCTGTGTATATGTAAGTTCATTTTTAGGTCACCCTGTATGTAAGTTAACAGTCAGAACAAGTTTTGGCAAATCAAGTTTTATTACAAAGATATAATAACTTGAAAACAACTTGTAACAAAATATGACTACACAAGTACCATTTTCACCATCTGATAATTGTACCAATACAAATGTATATACTATATTACTACAATTCTATACTATGAAAGGCTATAATAATATCAATTTTTTAGTTTAATTTCATGTATGGACACATAAAGTCCCTTACCAATAGAATTAACATGGGCACCAAGATGAATTAACATGGGCAACAAGTTGAATTAACTTGGACAACAAGTTGAATTAACATGTATGATATGTTGAATTAACATGGTCATCATTAGAAAATCTGTCTCTAAATAAAACCATTTGAAAGTCAAATCATAATTTTGTGTTAATGCTTATCACGTTTATAAAACTGCTTGATTTTGGCATGGAATTTTCACGACTATTATTGTTTCTCATTTGTGTCTTGGAGCCAGAACTGTTAGAGCCCAGATTTTCATTCTGAATCCAGGACTCTTGACTCTGCAGTGCAAACTTTTTTATTCGCTCCTGTTTACATACACACATACAGAAAATCACTCGGAATATCCTCCTGAATCTGCGTCCAAAGTAACAATAGATAAGGAAGTTCACCGATGAGTTCACTGTCAACAGGAGGTTGCAAACTCCCAAGTAATATATGGTCCAATTGAATTGGCCGTGCTGGATGTTTACCACTGTACTTAACATATCAACTGGGAAAATAATAACAATGATTTCTCGGATGAAATCAGGAGTCTGGGTAATAATGAATACTGTTACCACGGCAATTAATGTCAGTGTGATTTCCTTTTCGTGACGTTCTTTCCGTGTGTCCATTAATGCTACACTGTTTGCGAGATCTTTATGCACTTTACTAGTTCGTTTGATCTCCTGGATTAGCCGTGTGTTCATGATAGATAACACAAGCAGAGGAATGAGATAGATCACTATAAAATATGCTCCTATACGGTATAATTTGATGTATACTGGATTCTGGGCAAAGTCAGAATATTTGTTTGTTACTATGGTAACATTTGTGCAAGGATCAGTTATTGTATATGTCACTCTTTCGAAAAATCGTGGCAGGTTAAACAAAATGTCCAGTACGATGACGATGATGACTACCTGTCTGGCTTTACCTTTAGTGCATTGCATCCCAATGTCTAACGGCCGACACACTGCCAGGTAACGGTCTATGGTTACCATGACAACCAGCCAAATTGATGCTCCCTGTGCAGTGTAGATCATAGGCAAGAGTATCGTGATTGTTTTTAAAAACATGCTATAATATGATTTTAGGTATCCAGTCGTTGTAAATATAGTCGGTAGTGGATATAGGAATATTCTCATGAATAAGAAGATAGAGTCGCAAACCGCTAGTGCCTGAAGTAGAAAGTTTAATGACGTCCCTTTGGCAGCTCTATCATGCTGGAGAACCACAATAGAAAATATATTGCCGATAATCCCCAGCACACATAATAATCCTATGAGAATCAAATGATTTGCAATGTTGAAAACTTGGTAGTTGAAATAACTCTGATATTCTATAGCATCTGTGCTACAGTTTGTAGTATTTCCATCCATGGCTGATCTGTGAATATGGCAGAGTTTCAACTCCCAAGTGCAGTTTATATGCACTTCTACAGACATCTCAGTCCCCCGCGACTTAGTGAGAAAAATATTCCCAATCTCAAACTTCTCTCCAAGTAATGGACTTAGAAATCAATAAATGTCCACTAATTGAATAATGTTTGGAGAAGTGTCTGTTTTTCTGTCTTCAATTCCTGCAATGCAAAGAATAATTTCACAGTTATTTCTCCAATTGCAAGAGAATTAAACTAAAGTATGAGTGATAAATGTTTATTTTTAATCATTGCTACATGATTGTACTTTTCCACTCCTCCAGAATTCCGGAGACAACTGTGACTTTTCACCATCAGCTACCAGACCCAATTTGAATTATGATTTCCTCACAATTTATGTGGAGACAGCTGTTAATGTTTTTGTCAATAAAAAGTTTTGCTCTAGAAAAAACACTTTTCACTGTAACATTGGAAACTTTACTTTTTATTAAAGTTTGTTGAAATGAGAAAATATTGTGTTTTTTGTAGCTTAAGATAGCGTTACATGATTTCATATTTGAGAAATAAATTGTAAGAGTTTCATGTCTAGTTTTTACCTGGTAAGTTCCGAACTGTAACTTGAGCTAGATTCGTAATTACACTAGAGCTGACGATGTGCAAATTGTGCATCGTGCTGCATCTCTGGTAGAAAAACTACTTCATCTTCTCCCACTAAGACTACAGACTCTCATTTAATTTAGCGTGCTCTTGGGACTTTGGATATCAATATTCATTCCTAAAATAAATGAATTGTCGTCCAGTGTCAATTATTCATTCTAGATATATCTAGTGTCCTTGTTTTGTTGATGTAATTCTTTATTAGCAAAGTTTTTGTGTTTAATATTGTGATTAGTTTGAGATTATTTCCAAGGGTTCATTAAAATTATCAGGCTGTCAGTGTTGTAATGCTCATCTCTTTTACACCCTCATTCCTAGTGTTTTTATGTTTCCTCTTTCTGCCACTTGTGTATGAGATTGATGGGATGTCTAATTGGTTAAGTGGATTCTAAAGTTAGTGTGTTCCCTATTACACTCTGTTGTAGAAGTACTCTGTTCCATATCTGTCTCTATGTTATCATTATAATTACACATTCATGGATTAATTGCTGTTTTAGTCAAACTTCCTGTAGGAATAAAACATATTCAGCTTACCTAAAGATATAAAGGGTGAAGAATTCAAAAATTGTTCAAATGTTTTTTAAAAATATTATATGAGTTGTTCTATATTATGGACACATTTTATACAATCTCCGATGCAGTCCTAATATATTATTTATATTTTAATACCAACCCATTATAGAATGATTTTTCAACTTCACTATGACAAGGATATCATTGCTTTCTCAGCTTGTAAATTTGTCTTTAATGATATCTATTTCTTGGAATAAATTTCCATGTCTTAGAATCCAGGATTTCGCAATATCTGTTGCTTGTTTTTCCGAACTAATCACTGATTATTTCATTTAGGGCACCTGTTTAATTTGCTTATTAGGCAGATCTTTCAAAGAAACTGCGATAATCTAATAACGTTCTACAATTGCACTCAGGTAAATAGATCGTAATTATTCATCGGTCAATAATTGTCAATTACTTCCTTTACTTTACTTCAACAAGGTTTTTTGCAGAGTGGACCATTAGATGTAGGAGTCATTTTTATACAGGGTGAGTCACAAAATGCAGGTCAAATTGAACTCATAGATTTCTGTTGCACTTACAAATATTTTGTCTGTAAAATTCATTTGATGTTGATAAGATTATAACTAAGATAAATGTATATTTGTTGATTGCTGGGTTACAGTTCAGTCAATCAATTTGAAATTACTCTTTGTCTGATGCCAAGAGTCGGATAACATCTTCAAAACACATTTTTAGCTCACATGGGTGAGACATGCAATCAGCCATCGCCCATTTGTCTATCTGTCAGTTCGTTTGTCTGTCAACACATTTGAAATCCTCCATGACAATTGAAATGGTTTCACTTTTAAAATGTGTCTAGAAAGTCTTCAATTATCCAATAAAGCGTCTCAAAAGCTCATCTTGTTATTCCAAAATTGTGGCCATTTTTATTCCGGAAAAGTCAGAAGTATTTCATCAATTTGCTTGACATTGTAAAGGTACCTTAATTTATAGGTTATCAATAATTGTATACAAGTTTCGGCAGCTTAGAGTATAGTATTTAGTCAACTAGCCTGAAATTGTTCAACTACCTTATTTCATAAGTAAACAATAATGTCTACAATGTTTGACAAAATAAGTCTCAGTAATAACGCAGATGCGAGTAGGTAGTTACCAGTTTCACCACCAGGTGGCTCGTTCGGGTCAGATAGCATGGTGGGTATAGAAGAAAGTTCCCTTTAACTTAAATTACATCTGTTTTAGTGGTTCAATTTTCATAGAACCCTTATGTATCTAATAGTTATGCAAATTAAAATATGTCCAGTAAAAGAAAATGTTATCTGTCCAACACAAGAAAAGATATTTCACTTTTTGTGATTTTGTAACGTGGGGTCTATGGGGAATCAACCCGAACAAGAAGTCACATTTTCAAAAAAATTAAATTTTCAAAGTTGATAAACAACTTTCGAAACCATATTTTTAGATGTACTTTTACATGTAGATTTCAAATATGACATCACTTTGACTGAATTTTGAATATTTAATGACGTAAATCAAGATTATTTCTACTCGCATCTAGTCTATTCAAAATAGCCATAATTTTTATTGTAGAAATATCAAGTATTGCATTGATTTTCTAATTATACAGGCAGCTAACTTAGCTAAGTGTTATTAGGTTAACAATAATGTCTAGAATGCATTTTCACCATATGAGCCCAGTACCCATGGCACTATTTATCTCTTACTTTCTAGTTTTATTCTCTCCCCAATTTACTCTTATAGTCCATTTGTCATTTTCATAACGTATGAATATTTAAAAACATGATGTTTTTCTGTGCAAATACTATCATTAGGGTTTATTGGAGTGATTTAGCAGGGTTGCCAAAAAATTAACGTTGGGGAAAATTTTTGTATCTATCACCATGGTAACATACCAGGTACATGGTGGTATCCCGACGCTAAGTCAATAGTCAACTCCATGTTAAGCCAATGCACCCCTCCCTAATTAGCCGATATACTTTTTTCCCCAAACTAACTTTTTGTCCAACCCAGTTAAATCATTTCAGAAAACCCTTGTTATTATAAATTAACCATAAAACATCGTGTTTTTAACAATTCATAGGTTCACTATAGTATGTATAGGGGTGACACATGGACTATTATGTTACAGCCCTATAAGAATTATAGCTCCTAATTGTTTCGTTTGATCAATCAAAAAATGATTTGTCTCTTTCCTATCATAATCATTGAAAATAAATACCATTTCGTGTCAAAATATTTACATGTTCGTGAGTATGATTAGACTCAATGGTTTAGATTGAGGTATTGATCACATGATGTGTTTGGCCCTTGCCAAAAGATGAAACATTTCTATAATGTAAAATAACATAGAAGCACTTTCCGAAATCCCAAAACTACATTGAGTGTACTGTTCAGTGCAGATCATTACTTCTTGATGGAGTATAAGGTTTTATGATGTCAGTTTCAAGATCATGGCTCTGAAGTTCAATATTGGTTTGCACTCTATATCATGTGGTCATTTATTTAATTCTTCATTAAGAGTAATAACTCTTTTCATCAGGGATTACAAGAAATATCAGCTCATCATACTTGAACATAAAATTGTCCATTAAGAAAAATCACTCATTTTTCTTCGTGATTACATGATTTGAGATATTGAATTCATTTTTCTGTAAATCACACATTTTAAAGCAGTTTTTCACATCTTGAATCACAATTGATATCATTTGCATCATCCCAATATTTTTTCATTTGATTTTTGTTCTCAGTTATCAGAATAAGCATGGTTTACAGTATTGCCCTTATGTGAAATGTGAAGTGTAATTTTGCTCATCAATCTTATTAAATGAAACTGTAAAAGATTATCTGAGGAAACAGACAATTGTACGTCATGTACGTCTAGAGTCTGCAAGGGTTTTAAGTGGAATGAACTGCAAATCTGTAATACTACAGTGGTTACGTTTTAAGAGAGAATTATGACGACAAATTGATAACAGACACCTACTATTTCTACGCAAACCAACTAAGTGCCGTTACATATTAACCAATGAGAATTGCAGCCAAACACAAGTTTGGAATTGGTTTCCCCTTCGGTGAATCAGGTTTTAAATTGATTTTCAAATGACAGTTTAAAAAGTATGATATTTACATAGCAAGTTCATTAACCCCTCTGTTACTGATATAGAGTTAAGTACAATCTGGTTATTTAAGGATTTAAGCCATGAACTCAGTGCTATGTGAAATGACCATTCCTTGAAGGTGTTGCTTTCCAAAATTTGAACGAGATGCGGAGCATCGAGTGTTAATTTTAGGAAACAACATCTGGAAAGAATGGTCATTACACAATGCATTGAATCTTGGGCTTAAATTCTTTTCCCACATTGCAAAATATTTTCTACAAAATCATCTAAAAGATACAAAATCACGAAAAGGACATATTTTCAAGTTTGCAACCTCCTGTTTTCAATCTGAGGAGTCTAGTTATCACCATGACAACCGTTTAACTAGTGAATTTGAGCTGGTTATTGGTTATATAATGGAATACAGTTATGTGAAATAGCGCCTTCTGATTGGTTAGAATCAGACTCAATTAGCCTAGCTATGTGTGAATGTAAATTAATTATCCCACTGAACAAAGTTTGGGGCATATATAAAAGTTCTGCTTGAAAGTAATTTTCAAAATCCAATGTAAATTCCATCAACAAACATGATACATATGTACATTATAAATTCATCTACTATGGTAGCTATTTGAAAAATCATGGCTGGTAGTTAAGTAAAAAAAGATGTTCCATAAGATGTGCTTAATCTTGGTGTAGCCGTGATCAGGCACACAATGTAAAATAGGATGAGTGGCTCTAACCTTTAAGAATCAATCTGCAATGTTCTAGATCCAATCATCAGTATGAAGACAAATAGGCCATTTCTTAGCCATAAATCAAACATAAATCCCAATGTTTTTCCCATTTCCTTGATCAGATACAATAAATTAGAAGTTAGTGCAAAACAAAGTGGCATTTGCTCTAAGACTCTACTGTGTGATTTACTGGAGATGAAATATGGAATTTCTTCTATGTAAGTTCATCTCTCTGGTTAATATATCAGAAACAAGTCAAATTCTTTACTTCAGAGAATATTTTTAATTTATTGAGACTTGTTTATTGACTTGTTATTTGACTTGTTTCTGATGGAATTTCTTGTTTTAGTAATTACCTTTTTTATTCAGTTTTTCAGTTCAGTCTTGTCTTTAACTTTACTGTTATAAATGTATATATTTGTTTTATACTATATTGTATTAGTTTTTTGTTGTATGCATTTGAAAGCTATGTGAGAAAAGAAATTCTAATTTTTACTGATCAAAAGATAACTCCGCACAATTGAGATGAACATTCTGACTTAAACAATTATATATTTAAGAAATATAGTCCGAAGAGCAGGGCTACTATTTTCAGGGCTTGGCACAAACGTTTTCGAAAGTTTTTGTGCCTAGCCCTAAGGGGTGTATTCAAAATAGTAGCCCTGCTCTGAGGTGTATATTACGATTCGAACATTAAAACTCACCAAAATATTGCAAAATCATCAATTTCGATGTTCATTTCCACTTTTTTTATTTCAACTTCCTGTTGAGCTTTTGCACTGAACGAAACACTTAGTACAGAGCCAGGGCATTGATCTCGAATATGCCCTGGGTGAAACATTGACTTTGTTCACAGTTTATAGAAGGCGTGAATACAGTCATCTTTGAATATAAATTAATTCAGAAAATCCATCTTTTGTTATTTAGGAAGGAACATCTCTAAAGAGTAACTTCCCTGTGTTAGATGAACAGTTTGACTTATGCAATTATGAATTAATTCACAAAACCCTCTTTTGCTTTAAGGAAGAAACATCTTTAGAGAGTAACTTCCCTGTGTTAGATGAATAGTTTGACTTATGTAATTATGAATTAATTCACAAAATCCCTCTTTTGCTTTAAGGAAGGAACATCTCTAAAGAGTAACTTCCCTGTGTTAGATGAATAGTTTGACTTATGCAATTATGAATTAATTCACAAAATCCCTCTTTTGCTTTAAGGAAGAAACATCTTTAGAGAGTAACTTCCCTGTGTTAGATGAATAGTTTGACTTATTCAATTATGAATTAATTCACAAAATCCCTCTTTTGCTTTAAGGAAGAAACATCTTTAGAGAGTAACTTCCCTGTGTTAGATGAACAGTTTGACTTATGCAATTATGAATTAATTCACAAAACCCTCTTTTGCTTTAAGGAAGAAACATCTTTAGAGAGTAACTTCCCTGTGTTAGATGAATAATTTGACTTATGTAATTATGAATTAATTCACAAAATCCCTCTTTTGCTTTAAGGAAGGAACATCTCTAAAGAGTAACTTCCCTGTGTTAGATGAATAGTTTGACTTATGCAATTATGAATTAATTCACAAAATCCCTCTTTTGCTTTAAGGAAGAAACATCTTTAGAGAGTAACTTCCCTGTGTTAGATGAATAGTTTGACTTATTCAATTATGAATTAATTCACAAAATCCCTCTTTTGCTTTAAGGAAGAAACATCTTTAGAGAGTAACTTCCCTGTGTTAGATGAATAGTTTGACTTATGCAATTATGAATTAATTCAGAAAATCCATTTTTTGCTTTAAGGAAGGAACATCTTTAGAGAGTAACTTCCCTGTGTTAGATGAATAGTTTGACTTATGCAATTATGAATTAACTCACAAAATCCCTCTTTTGCTTTAAGGAAGAAACATCTTTAGAGAGTAACTTCCCTGTGTTAGATGAATAGTTTGACTTATGCAATTATGAATTAATTCACAAAATCCCTCTTTTGCTTTAAGGAAGGAACATCTCTAAAGAGTAACTTCCCTGTGTTAGATGAATAGTTTGACTTATGCAATTATGAATTAACTCACAAAATCCCTCTTTTGCTTTAAGGAAGAAACATCTTTAGAGAGTAACTTCCCTGTGTTAGATGAATAGTTTGACTTATGCAATTATGAATTAATTCACAAAATCCCTCTTTTGCTTTAAGGAAGGAACATCTCTAAAAAGTAACTTCCCTGTGTTCAATACACAGTTTGACTTTTGCAATTATGAATTAATTCACAAAACCCCTCTTTTGCTTTAAGGAAGGAACATCTTTAGAGAGTAACTTCACTGTGTTAGATGTTGAATCTGGTAACCTGGATGGACTTCCTGATGTACTACTCCATCCAAGGAATCTCATGATAGTGCAGAGGTTTGCCCGCCTCTGGAATAGGTACAAGACTTGAACAAAGCATTTTTATTCATAGACTTTATTTCAAATCAAATATAAATACATAAACACATGAGCAGCCTTGTAGCATTATCAGCCAATCATATCCATGTATTTGTTACTTATGTTTTGCAAGTCAAAGCATCACTGAAGTATCATATCATCACATCATATGAAGTAATGAAGAATTAATATCATATTCATGACGTGTTTGAAAATTCAAATGATGAATGTCTGAGAATTCATAGCCATTTTTATCCTGTGAGTGTGGAATTGATATTGAATTGAAAATTTTTTTTTTGAAATGACCTCATGAAGATGATATCGAAACTCCTGTAGAAGAAACCTATATCATCGAAATGTCATGTTGTTATAAATATTAGTGTGACTTGGTTAGTTTGGCACTTTTTAATAAAACAAGCGCCAAATGAATCCAACACATTAAATATTAATGCTTTTTATCTGTTTAAATCTGGTTCAATAAATAAATATGTGTACATGTTTTATGTTCAATCAACTTAAATGACTGACTTGTATTGAGAAAATAGTGAAATTGTGCTAGATTTGGAATATGTACATCTTCAGTTTATTTGTTTTATACTATTTGCACCCAGATTTGACCTAATTTTTACATATGACATTTCAGTCTGTCCAAAGTGTATCAAAGGAGGATTATAAAAAGTGGAGAATTGTTCACCAACCCTTGCCTCTTCACTGAAGAAATAAAACAGAAGGCTAAGTCAACCTTTCAACGATATAGGACCAAGGTGACCAAAATTATTTTTTCTTAAATTGTTATACATATCACCTGTAATCCTCATGCTACATGGTGAACTTTTGTCTGTAACAACCACTTCTTGTCCCTGTCATATGGTACAATTAAAATAAAACTCAGATCAGGTGGAATCAAACTCTTCACACATTTTTAATGCTGAATCCAATAAATATAGGGAATCATCTATCAACATCTGATCAAGTTTTTGAAATGAGTAATAAAGGTAAAATATGTTTAACATTTCACCAATCATCATTTTTTCTCTTACTCCATTCCAGGCCAATGTTGCAGTTACAGCTTGGAAAACAGCAGAAGAACAAAATGGTTCAGTTCGTATTATTGCTAAACCTCCATCAAAATCAAAACAAAAGAAGACCAAGAATTGCACCTTGAGTAACCCTGACAGTGATCCTCCACGGCAGAGCTTTACTGCAAGCAATAGGCAAAGCCCTGAGAATACATTCTCCACAATCAAAACCAAACAACCAGAACACAATCAAACTGGAAAGGAAACCAGTACTACTCCTAGTGTATCTGCCAGTGGAAACGAAGCTAAGTGTCTTACTCCCAGGACTATTATAAATGATCTGAGGAACTCCAGTGCTGATGGGATATCTAACACCTCCAGTGACCTACCTAGACCTGCAGATGGACTTACTAAGGGTTACTTACAGGTAGGTTCAGCACAAAAGTTCATCCAATTTATTAATTGATGTGAGATTAAGGTTAACTCCATGTATATGAGAACAGTGGTTTGCAAGGTCGGAAATGATGATCGTGTTAGGGGAAGTCTAGGAGTCCTGTAATCCTTCCAGACCCTTAACCTGGGAATTTCTTTTAAAAACCTGATGCTATTCCTGTATGTATGAAATGTAACAAACACTTTCTTTTAGGCCCTGACCACTGATGCTATTCCTATATGTATGGATTATAACAAATACTTTCTTTTAGGCCCTAACCACTGTTGCTATTCCTATATGTATGGAATATAACAAACAATTTCTTTTAGGCCCTGACCACTGATGCTATTCCTATATGTATGGGATATTAACAAACACTTTCTTTTAGGCCCTGACCACTGATGCTATTCCAATTTGTATGGAATGTAACAAATACTTTCTTTTGGGCCCTGACTACTGATGCTATTCCAATTTGTATGGAATGTAACAAACAATTTCTTTTAGGCCCTGACCACTGATGCTATTCCTATATGTATGGGATATTAACAAACACTTTCTTTTAGGCCCTGACCACTGATGCTATTCCTGTATGTATGAAATGTAACACACACTTTCTTTTAGGCCCTGACCACTGATGCTATTCCTGTATGTATGGAATATAACAAACACTTAACCACTGATGTTATTCCTATATGAATGAATTATAACAAACACTTTCTTTTAGGCCCTGACAACTGATGCTATTCCTATATGTATGGAATATAACAAACACTTTCTTTTAGGCCCTGACCACTGATGCTATTCCTATTTGATGAAATATAACAAACACTTTCTTTTAGGCCCTAACCACTGATGCTATTCCTATATGTATGGAATATAACAAAATTTTCTTTTAGGCCCTGACCACTGATGCTATTCCAATTTGTATGGAATGTAACAAGCCAGTGAACAACCCACTATTGAAGAAAAGCACACTACAGAACAGTAAGAATGCCTGGGACCTTAGATTCTGCTCCAGGGATTGTGCTGAGGCCTCATTTGTAAGTACTGGTAACACTGCTAGGTGAACACTTCTTATTTGAATACTTCTCTTGATGAACACCTCTATGTGATCACTGCTTTATGTTACTTTCTATGTACCTGTCATGATTACACTCCTTCTGTAGATAATCCCTAGCAAAGAGAACATCTGTTAAAAATGATATGAAAAATTTTAACTAATGGCATCTTTAGAGTTTTAAACCTACCAACCAACCATCAATAACTGCAAGTGCAATATATACAATTTGAAAATTCTAATTGAATAACCTTTTTAAGATGAAATCAATATGATTCAGCAAAACCAATAGCCTGTTTTTTTTGTGACCTGTTTATGAAAGGACTGAGTGAATCATGAACAAAACCACATGCTTATTGTAAAAATTACCAAAGAACCTGTATTTCTGTGTTTGTAGATGAAGACTAGCAGAGAGTATGCTGTGAAGGAAGTGTTCCAGGCAGAGAGAGGGGTCTGTCAGATGTGCAAGTTTGACTGTGAACATCTCAGACTTACACTAAGGTGGGTGTTTTACAGATACAGATAAACATTGGAACAAATCAGATTTGAATTCTTCGATGTAATGCTAATGAGAGGACCATTCTCTACACACTTTGAAATGTACTTTTTTCAATTTTCTTATGTGATAATGCCCCTGTGTAGTTACCCTCCCCAAAATAGATACTGCATAAATACTCTAAATGAGATAATAATTTTGCAAAAAGTCTATGGCAACCAAAACCAAATATAGTAATATTCTCGTTGACATAATTGTCACCATGCCTGTTGTAGCGACAGTGCCAGTCTGAAGGAGCGGGCTACCACAATAGACTCAAGCATATATAAAGTACTGAGTGTTAGTGAGAAGCAGGCAATGATCAAAAGACCACAGATAAAAGGCAAGGTAAGAAAGGATTAGAAAAGTCTTGTGAGGAATGATCCAAGTTATGCAGAGTGATACATTCTTAAGCCTGAGTTGTATCCTAAAGTCATACAGGATATTTCAGTGTCAGTACCATGTATGTCAAGTGACAATTGTTAAATGTTTGCAAAAGCAGCAAAAATGCTATTTTCAGTCATTTGTATGTCTATTAATAGCATCCTAATACAAGATCCATTAAGCCCTCAAATTATTGAGAGTGACAAGTGATGATTTGCCCCTCTTACCCTCTTCAAATTATCATTTTGCCAGTAGTCATTAAAAGATTGGCTTCATTATGATAAAAAATAAACAGATCTCAATAATTATGCCAGATGCCCATATCCCCATAGAGTTGACCAAACAAGGCTCTGTTAAGCCTATTTATTTGGGTCTTTATTATCAGTCATAATCTCTCTTTTGCAGTTCTACCAGGTTGACCATATAGTGCCAGTGATGGAGGGAGGAGGCTGGGCTGATTTGACCAATCTACGCACTCTCTGTACAGTCTGCCACAAGCGTGTCACCTCAGAACAATTGAAGAATAGATCTAAAACAAAGGCTGCTAGAAACACTAAACATATTACAACATTTTTCAAATCATTTTCAAATCAAAGTTAACTTTGGATTGTAGTGTGCAGAATAAAACAGAGTTCATGCAGAGCTGTAGTAATTTGGTCTTAAAATAGTAGAGGCAAATTTAATAACTTAAGTAAGGCAAAAATTGGGCCAACAGCAATATAATAATAGTCATTAGACTTCTTTTCCAGGGTTCCAATTTTAAAAGTGTTTGCCTCCATTACAAAATAGAGCATGTACCAGTTGCCTCCATTACAAAATAGAGCATGTACCAGTTGCCTCAATTACAAAATAGAGCATGTACCAGTTGCCTTTATTACAAAATAGAGCATGTACCAGTTGCCTTCATTACAAAATAAAGCATGTACCAGTTGCCTTCATTAAAAATAGAGCATGTACCAGTTGCCTCAATTACAAAATAGAGCATGTACCAGTTGCCTCAATTACAAGATAGAGCATGTACCAGTTGCCTCCATTACAAAATAGAGCACGTACCAGTTGGATGATGAAGTATTGTCGGGAGTCAGTTTTACAATGAAATGCACCAAAACATTGTCTATGGCAATGAGTAGGGCTAGCTAACAGCCTTCTAACTGTGTGTTGGTTGCCATGGAAAAGGTTGATCAAATTTATTGATGCAGATCTTCTGGTCCAAAAATTAGTTGGTGTTGCATGCTTTAAAAAAATACATATTGAAATATATTTGTGGAAAAATTATTATTATGTTATTGTATAACAACAGTAGGGAGATCCATGAAAAGGTCAAATCTGACATTTGATTGTACATTTGGCTCCATGTAAAACAGTATTGATATCAAACAAATAATGAGCCTTTGAATTTTCACATTTAGTGATCATTTTCAAAATGACTGCCATCTTTTCACCTTCTATGAGATTACATGGGAGTAGAGATGGATGGAAGTATATACATGCACATGCTCTGATGTACGCATCTACTAGCACAGAAAACTACTCAAAAAATACCTAATGAAGTTAGATATAATATAATAATGAGATATAATATAGAGGTCACTGCGTGCAAGGATTCAAACTTGCAAGACAGTATTCTACCAGCAGTGTTTTATGATCTAACAATGTATTGTTAAAAACGAAGCTTCTTGATGTGTTGTACAACTGTACTTGGATATTATAAATAGTTCATTCAGCTAACTCAATTTTTTTATATGTATGTCAGTCTGAAGTTCTATCAGCCTTTAAATACTTCAAAAACAAATGAATCATCAGTATAGATACTCTGCATGGCCAACAAAATAATTATTGAAATAAAGACAAGGCACTAGCAAAATGTCACAACCTGCCATTTGTTACAGATGCTGAACACCGTCCACAAAAAGTTGGAGACTATAATAATATGTGGTGACATAAAAAGGATCAGTTCCAGAATGGAGCCCTGGGGTACCTCATAATTAATTTAATTGGCAACCAGTTCAAATGTTTATCGTTGACAATAACTCATCAGATTGTAAGTAACTTTGAATCCATGTATTCAAATTGCCTATTTAAGATTGTTCCATTGGAACACAACCCAAGACACAGTCAATCCTTTAAGACCATCTGTAATGGGAGTGGGGGGGGGGGTGAAAAACAAACAAGCTTTGTTGGTTCTGGTGCAATCTTTATTTCAAGTGTAAATCTTTATTGGCATAAGATATATGACATATGAGGATAAAAATGTATAAATATACCAGTATAAAATGTCCTCCGACAAGTTTTGCATTGTACATTTAAAATACAGCTAAATTTCATTGCTGTTTCAACTCTAACATATATATGTATGTGTAAACAAAATATACAGTTTACTTATGTACGAAGTTGTACAATATAAGGTCAACATACATAAATAAATGTATATCCTCCACCAGAAAGAAATAGTTTGTTGGTTTATTTGGTGCCCAATTGTTAGTCTTGTATCAACGCTGTGACCATACACCTCACCCTTAAAGTGTGCGCCAAAGTTTAAAACTGCGCAGGCGCACCGCTCTCGCTAAACTATATAAAGAGATTACCAGGTACATGATTCAGAGGTAAGCCAGGAAGCGAACGATATTCGTCTCGTGATGATTTCCCATATAATCGTAACCAGGGAAGTTTCACCATTGAAATTGAAAATTACTATTAGATATACTTTGTAGATGTCATTTATGAAGCTATTTAGTGTTTGCATCAATCAAATGGCTCATTTTGAACATATAAAAAGTATTTGTGTTTTGTTTCCAAGGGAATTGTATTGTATGTAGTACACACATAAATAGTGTACATTATACAGTACTTGAATAGCCTGGTTTACATAATATTGAAGGGCATGCTGATTACATGCACACGAGTACATGAATGAAGGCCTAATATTGATATACGTAGCTTGCATACCTAAATAAAAAATAAACTCTTCTAATCCCCTAATGTAAACACGGCGGTATACGTAGCCCGATTTATCGGGGACTTTAAGGTTAAAGTTGGTGAACGGGAAGTTCCAAAGACTTGTTGGAAGACTTCTAAACATTGTTATGTATGGTACACTCCCCCCATATATTTGGCTTACCACTATGACAGACTTGCTGTCCTAAACAGTCTGCGCTGCCAAATTTTTGGAGAGGAGTGTTAATAGTAAATACCTTTAGAGAAAATAGTTTATCCTTCTTCCTGTACTAGTAACTACCACCAATTGCAAATAGAATGTACATTTTAATGTATATAATGTTTCAAATGAATGAACTGTGGAGCTTGAGCGATTTAGTACATGTAAGATTGCACACTTAATACAAACAACCAGTTTTTCATGTCTTTGGCATTTTCAAACATAAAGGGAAAAATATGTGGGAAAAATAATGAAAAATATGTATGCATTATTAATGGTGTTAAATAGTATAATATAGTAGAAATAGTATAATACAAGGTGTTGTATATGTAAACTCATACATGTTGCATTGCCATCTTTTCATGTTATATATCATTTTGTTCCTCATGAAAAGTGGCACAGTTTCAGAATCAAGGGGTGTCCCTGAAAAAAGATGTGTGTAATGTATCAAAGTATGCGGGTACAGGGTCGTTTGTAAGCATTTTTTGACCTTGTTTGGTGATCTGTTCACTTTGTTTGCAACCCATTTTTTGTAATAAAGGTGGTTGCATGGTCCCTGGCCCACCCATAAGCCACTGCATGGATCCTGTCTATGTATCTCTGTGCATAACTGTCACAGACATGTGGACTGAACTCTGCCATGATGCCATTCGCTAGAAATTTGCCATACAGAAACTAAATTACCCTCAAAACGAGCATAAATTCCTGCCTTGATGACCCGTACCCACATACTTCGATACACTGTTCATGGACACTCATGGGTTCCGAAACTTTGCAATCTTAGGTAACTCTATATGACGAACAAAATGATATATAAAATGATAGGGTGAGTTTAGAGGGGATGCATATATATGAAACAACCCGGTATCAAACTTACATCATTTGCAATTTTAAATAGTTAAATGAATTATAAAATCATATGTGTTAAATATTTATGTTTGATAAAAAAGTTATCTACATGTATAATAAAATCAACCAAATATTTAAGGATAAATGTCATGTAGACTGAAAATAGTATCAATCAATTATGAAGTGTATACATACATAAAATTTAAAAGAATAAAAAGTAAATAAAACATAATAAGCCAACCCTGTAATCAATAAATCGGTATTTAAGCAACATAGCAGATGTGCCAACTATACGTATAACTCATTTTTCCTTCATAAAAAATTTGATTTTTTCACATTAGCATTCAAAAATTCAAAGAAATTTGTAATGCTGATATTGGAAAGTAATTTTGTCAGTTGCAAGTGACGATGATAATATTAAATGCACATTAAACTATATTAAATTATATGTGCAGGTTAAACTAGAAACATCTCAAAATCTTTTTTTATCGAATCCCATCTATGGTTATCTCAGGCGTCCTAGACTTCCACCAACGAGAACATCAGTTCTGATCTCGCGAGCTACATCCCTTGCTCTCGAACCACGATTCTCACATCACGAACGTGAAATCATTAGTCACGCACCACCATTTCCTCGCTCCCGAACATATTTCTCCACTCGTGCACAGAGATCCGTGCTTACAAACCACTTGCACATTGTGGTTCCCCAGCACGGATCTCCATTCACGAGTGGAGAAATATGTTCGGGAGCGAGGAAATGGTGGTGCCCGACTTAAGATTTCACATTTGTGATGTGAGAAACGTGGTTCGAGTGCAAGGAACGTAGTTCGCGAGGTCAGAAATGATGTTTGTTGATGGAAGCCTAGGAGGCCTGTATCTGAGCTTATTATTCTAAAGTTACATGATATCAGAATAGAAGTTATGGTTATAATGTAAATGTTAACTAATAACATATGCTGATTGACCAGAAATGTTCATAGAATAAACTCAATTATAAGTTTTGGGTTTAATGAAAATAGAACATAAATACAAAAGTTATTGAAAAATATACAAAAACAATTAACAAATATAGTATAAATAGAATTTTTGAAAACCAACAACTGAACTGTATATTTGGTGTTTTAAAAGTTACATTTTCTTGATACAAATATTGATTATTATTATGATTATAATAAAAAAATTAAAACATTTTACCAAGTACAGGTTATACTTACTGAAAGATCACCCAGTAAAATTATTAATATAAAACAGGAACAAGGCAGTATCAGTTCATTCATAAAAAGCTTATCATTTAAAGAAAAACCATGAAATCTCATTTCAATTGAGATATACTGGTAACACTCATTATTATTTTAGTCAAATATTGCTTACACCATCACGATAAACCATGACATCTCATTTCAATTGAGATACACTGGTAACACTCATTATTTTTTATGTCAACTCTTGTTTGGGGGATTTGATGCAAAATAAAGAAGTTGAAAAAATTACATTATGAATAACCAAATGATTAAACCAATGGATTATTGCACTTTATAACAAGAAATTCAAAATTGCCACCAAACATACCATAGCTTTATCTATTATTTCAGGGAGTCACAAACCGAACCGAAAATTTTCACCCCATTAGACCCCTAGTATTTCTACAGTATAATACTTATATTTACATGTATTTATTATACATAAGGCCACTGCAATAAAATATCTTTCTATCGAAGACCATCCAGATTTTATAGGATCTTAAAGTTCCGTAAAAGCAGTAATTCTTTCAATGCCGAGATACCTGAACACGAGTGGAGCTAGGAACACAACATTGAAAGACACCATGGTATATGTGAGATACTTGTAGGCTAGCTCTATCCAGATATTCTGCCGTGACTCCTTATCAACCTTGTTAACTCTGAACACATAACAAACAAGGTGAAATGTAAGAGCTTTCATTATAGCTCTAGTGGCGACTAACACCACAGACCCTATACACATCCTCATAATCATCAATCCAAGCCAGCGTGCATCAGGAGTTATGACCAAATAAGGTGGCGGCGTATCGGCAGCTGTGATATACCCCATCTGGTAGTTCATCCAGGAACCAATTGCAGCTCCCGATGCAACAGATATGATCAATGTGGTATCACCCCTCGCAGTGCTCCACCGGTCCATAGCTGGATAACATATAGCCCCAAACAAGCCCAGTCCAATGATGACCAGAGGGGCATAGGGGTGGTAGATTTGAAAGTAGTCTATGGTATCTAACCAGGGTAACAAGGCAGGCAAGGACACTATTACAATTCCTAGACCAGCTAGAAGATCCTGGAAGAAACAGAAAAATATTATATTACCTAACATGAGGAAATTATAAGTCAGTGGTAATTGTTTAGTTACCCTTTCCATTCCTTTGACTTAGTTTCTTAAAAGAAAGCTTCATCCTCACTTTTAAAATTTATAAGAAACATCTGAACTCGTTAAGCCAACTTGAGCTTGTCATCGACAGAAAAATGACTTTCTTTATAAAGTCTTGATCTGAAATCATCATTAACCCATCATTGACCAGAACTGAAACATTAATGAAATGGATTTCTTTCTGTTCACTGATTGGTTGAAAAAATGTCAGCATTGAGTAGATTTGAATTGATATTTGACCTGGGCTGTGATGGCCATTGGCAATTTGGGTGGGACTGCTAAACTGCAATTTGTTGGTTTAGAACTAACCTCTGTGCTTGGGGTATTTTTCATCCTTCTTCAAAGGACTTCATTTATACTTATGGAAAGAAGTGAAATACCCTTGGACCAAGGATGGTATTTTTGGTCAGTGTAGTGGTTATAACCTATAAAGCCTCAGTCACATTTACTCTATGAAAGCTGTACTGTGGCTGTAGCTTCACAAAATCAATATAGAAAATCTACATCATACTCACGCGGTACTAACTTCGACCGTTAATTTGAATTTTTGTCTTACCAGGTGTTTGAAAATCAATGACTGCGAGTCTCATACTGCACCGTTTTTCTTCAAACTTGTTCCATTCAAAGCAAAACAAAATTGTCTTTCTGTTGGTACATTGTTTTATTGTAAAGAGTCCCTCGTTTTAGCAGCGTTTTGGTCCCCAGTTGTGAGAAGCCTTTCTCACAGCTGGGGACCCAAATGCCGCTGAAAGTAAGGACTCTGTATAGCAGAATAATGTTCCAACAGAAAGACAATTTTGTTTTGCTTTGAATGGAACAAGTTTGAAGAAAAACAATGCAATATGAGACTCGTAATCCTTGATTTTCAAACATCTGGTTGGTCAAAAATTCAAATTAACGGTCGAAGTTAGTACCGCGTGATACTGCTTATTCCTATGTTTTATGCTGAAAATTTCTCTCGATTTTGGGAAGCTACAGCCACCCCACAGTTGCCATAGATCTGAGGGTTAAGCAAAGTATGACCATCAAACATCAATTTGCTGTGCAACATAAATGCAATAATGATTTATCAATGATATTATTCAATCTGATTCCTCATATTACTTCTGCATGAACAAACTGACTGGTTCATAACCCACAAAGCTGCCTAATATTAGGTTATTCCATATGTTCAGAAATGTCAATGGCTTCCCAATTGAGAAAAAGTGTTACATGAAAACAATATGGGACTTCAATGAAGAAACCATTAGAATTTCTGAACATGCGGGTATAGTATACCTAAGATTTAAGAACTTTGTTTAAAACCAACTTATAGATCGGAAGTACATGTATAAAGGTCAGCCAAATCTAAAGGAAGGTCATCATACTATAATGCTATGTATTCAACAACCTCCCCTATTCAATAAAGTCTCTTATTACAGACACTGTATCAATAGGTATGTTTGACCTCTGAAATATTTGAGATTAAGTATTTATCATGTTTATACAGGTCCTTTATATTTCAATGGAGGTGTAACAAGAACATTTAGTTTCTTTCAACAGTTTTGGGTGTATCTTTTTACTCACGAGAATAGAGTGCATGCCAAGGTAGAGTCTGCTAAGGCACACTAAGAGTGTCCATGTCACTGATCCTAGCAACCCCAGTGTCCATGAATACTGAAAATACAAGCATATCCTGTATAAATATTATGTAAAAATCTTGAGGGTTTCTAAGTAGAGCAAATATAAGATGGGTTGAGTGCCAGGGGACTTGTACCCCTTCAAGAGTTTGACTTGGCATATTTAGCAGACAATCCACAAACTTAAACAAAAGTTTGAATTGTTCCAAAATAACAATCTTTACCAAAATACAAACCTTTAAGTTTAACTTATTTAGAGAAACAAATGCAATCTTTCAAGAGATGAAAAAAAAAGAAAGTCATCTATACTCAAAGAAAAGGTTTAGACTTCAACTCAGTAGATTGATTAGTAGCTGGGATTTATTTTACATTCAATCTCAATCACTCATGATTAGTCTGTGTAGTGAGGGGGGGGGGTCACAGGGGCATGTAGCAAAACTATTAAACTCATGATAACAGAGCTGTCAAGTGTCCCGCGAATGGCGGGATTATCCCGCAAATTTGATCAAAATTTGGCTAATTCGCGTGTCCCGCAATGTCCCGCGAAGTCCCGCAAATGTCGGCTTTAACCTCCGCGAATTTTCAAAATTGTAACAATCTCCGAGGCTAAATAATTGTGATTATCTTGTGATATAAGAAGCTAAGTTTTTGCGCTTTTGAGGAGTAAAGTTTACCTAATTTGAAAAGTGCTGCCAAACTCCCAGTGCATCAGATCATCGTAGACTGCTTTTGAAAAGAGCATATAGTCCATTTATTAAACTGTGATTTTGATCCAAATAACACCATAGTTGGCTTCTCAAGTAGCTAGTATGCCGTTATTTGGTATCAAAATAAAGAGGAAAAGTGCAATTTTCATTTTAATTACGAAAATAGGGATGTACGTGTATGTCACGTATAGTTCCAACGTTGGCCTTTTTACTACGCGTGTCACGGCCTTCATCTAAGAACTGAGCAAATGTTAGCAAACGCGAGTTCCAATAAATGGACACTGATATCTCGAAAAGAAACCTGACTCCCTGTAATTTGATTTAGATTAATCGAACCCCAATATGAATAGGTACATTTTAATATGTTACACTATGGGGGGGGGGGGTAAACGTTTCATAGCTGGTCACGAACACCATAAGTGCAAAGTATTGTTCAGAATTTTTGAATTTCGTGTTAGATTACGGTACTCACAACTAAAGCGTGGTTTTTTGATACAGGGTGGTCAAAAAATGGAAACCCTGCATTTTCCTTATATCTTTGTCACTTTAAAAAATTACTCCCTGATATTTCACACATTTGTACATCATTCAATTTTCTACCGCCCTATCATATTTCATGACCATCGGACTGATAGACACAATTTTACAGCACTTAGAATAACCCCGGGAGAATAACATGCTTCAGATTTGGCCATTATCGCGTTGTAGGCAAAACAGCACAGTTGTCGAGCCGAATGCATTCCTCAGCAGGTATGGCCTGAATGACACAAATGATCTCACTTTTGAGGTTTGCAATTGTCCTGAGGTCATTCTCATATACTCTATCTCTGCCATATCCCCACAGGTAGGGACATTTTAGACGAAGAGTCAAGTTTCCCCACAAACCAATAGTGGCCACTGGGCATATTCTTTAGAGTACTGTAACATTGTGACTCTCAATCTGATGGTCGTGAAATAAAATAGGCTTGAGGCAAATTGAATGATGTACAAAAGTGTAAAATATCAGGGAGTTATTTTTTTAAAATGACAAAGATATGAGGAAAATGGTATTAGGGTTTCCATATTTTTGACCACCCTGTAGTTTAATAATATTTCTATGCGTATTGTGTGGAATTGTGTTGACGTTTACTTAAGTTAAGTGCATTATATTTGATAAATCAGTATCTAAAAGTTTGATTTGAGAACTTTTACATTAAGCCCCAATCACGTATCCCTTTCAAGAATGTCCTGCGACATCCCGCAAATTTAGGTGGATGTCCCGCGAAATCCCGCGAATTTAGGGCACTTTGTCTAAAAAATCTGTCCCTCTATGAAGTATTTGGTGGTAACCCTGTTAACTGTCCCGCAATTAGCATGTTCGTCCCTCGATCGAATGGTCCCGCGAAATCCCGCGAATTTGATCAAAATTTGACCTATTAGCGCAATCACGGCAAATCCCTTAAATGTCCCGCGAAATCCCGTGAATTTAGGTGGATGTCCCGCGAAATCCCGCGAATTTTTGGCACTAGGTCTAAAAAATCTGTCCCGCGAGAAAATCTTTGGGGGTTGACAGTACTGTGATAATTTTGGGGGAATTTCCCAGGGATTTATTTGTAAATATAATATTTAATGGCAAGGGTAAGATCTCTTACATTGTTCACTTTATACTCAATCTAAAGTACTTTAAAATAATTCAAAATTAAAAATAGATACGTCACAAAATATTTGAAATTTTTGTATAACAATTCATGTTAAGATAACCCTATCACTGGCCTATTACTTACTTTAGATCTATTTTAAGTTGAACAATTGGTTATATCATCTATCAGTATTCATGTGTTCTGTTTGGATATTATCCAGGTCACAGGTGAGATGTTAAGTACATTTACACACACATTATCATATATTGCCAAGGACCAAAACAGTTTTCGGACATTTAAGTGGTTCTTTTCAGAGGGAGGGGAATCACATTACGCATATCAGAATGAGGAGGGGCTTTAAGACAATATGCCCCATAAAGTAACTCACGAGTTACCAAATATGAACAAAATCGCTCCACTACTTTTTGAGTTACAGAAAAAATCGTAAAATAATGAGTAAAGGCCGTCATTTTTCAAGATGGCTGCCATGCGCTTCTTTAATATTTACATTTCTAGCCTTATTAATGTCCTACATAATTTTTTTACATTTAAAACATATTGCTATTACAGTAGTGTAATCTTTGAAAATAAAGTATAACACATTTCCATCCAATCATCCAAGATTTTCAGACATTATAATGTTTGTTAAATTATTTTCAAAATCTTGATGTTAATGAGTGCAAATGAATAAATTGACTTATTTTCTAAATTCAATATATGAAGCCACTTTAACATCAGGCCATGTTATCCAATGATCAATGATCAAGTTCAGTGAGATACAAAGAGGATAAAAGTCCATCATTAAAAGATTAATTAGTTTAAACATATAAGTACATTTCTGATCACGTTTAGAACACCTGTATGCAGGGTTTAGGGAACTTTTATCAGATATCATGGTATATTTATGAAGCTACTGATGATGACCTGGTGGGTCAGTCAGTGTGACCAGTGCAGTACAACAATTATTTTTGAATTAAAATGACCTTTACACCCCAGTCACATTTCCTACGGCGACCTTGCGGTCTATCATTTCTGCGGCCAGTAGCTTTTCTACGCTCGCTGCAGAATTTATGCGCTCTCATACTTTTGCAGTCACATTTCCCACGGCAGCCGCACGGTGAATTTTAAATTTATATTGATAAATAATAGTTTTTTTTCATTTAGAAAAGTGATCGTGAAACATTGACAAATAATGATTCAATCTTGTTGAGCCAGTTGATTTCTACGGGGACCTCAGAAATGAACAAATATTATAACTCCGAGTTATAATTTCTACGCCTTCCCTGCGGCCTGTAAAAATCTGCATACGCCGTACGGAGGCCGCAAGGCGAGCGTAGTTTTTCTACGCTCGCCGCAGAAATTCACCGATTTAATTGTTCTGCGGTCGACTTGCGGCCGCCGTGCGACAAATGTGACTGGGGTGTTAGCTGGACTAATACTTTTTCTTTTTAAATTTAAGATCTATGATATCTTGGAATGTCTGGAGGCTCCCCAAATTTATTCATGAATTTTAAGACAAAGTAAAAAAGGAAAAATAGGAAAATGGAAAGATTGTGATGTGTATGAGAATATCTTGAGATGACCGATGTCCTATAGTTTTGCTAAATTGCAGAGCAGACACAAGATGAACAATATCTCACCCTTGAAATGAGTCAATATATGAGATATGTACAACTTAATTTGCTCAGATAAAAAATATCAGGATCTCACCCAGATAGATAAGATTAACATTGCTTTGTAAACAAGATTTTGAAAAAGTTAAAAATGGTTATTAAGTCCTTAGTGTAATATAAATGCTAGATTTTACACCAAAAAACACCCTTGAACATGAATCAAACACCTGGACCAGGACCTGGAGATTTGTCGAAAAGAAATTGCAAACAAGAGTTTATGGGACACCGTGGCCACTTTAAAAATATCCATCATGACCAAAAGTAGATACCGAAAATTAGAAAATCAATCTGACTAAGGTGAGCTACCAAGCTAGACATCAATAATTATGTAACACAATGTGACAACAATAGTGTAATCATGTTTCATGGGGTTTTGATTGGTGGAACAAAGTAGTATGAACAATTCACTGAAACAGAATAAAAACAACTCTTTCAAACATTTTAAAGAGGCCAACAGGATTACAATGATCTTTTACCCTAAGGATCAGAACTGGTCAATAAATAGATCTTTATTTGAACATTGTTGAAGTTAGAAATAATCCAGAAACACCCTTACAAAACAATTTATGCCCCTATCCCCAAAACTGATTAATCTAGCTTTTATACCATTAATATGTGTACAATTTGTTCATAATGAGCTTTTAACTTATTTGAAAATTAGAGTATTTCTTGTAGAATTACTGAGTATTATTACTCTGGGTATTTAAGGAGATTAGAAGTGATTTCTATGACCTTGGGGTCACCATAACCTGGCAGGGACAAATGGGTTACCTAATAGTGTTTATGTCACGCCACCCTCAGATCAGCCCATTCATCATGATAAACCGTAATATCTCAATTCAAATGAGGACAGTGATACCTGATCTTGAAGAATGCCCAGCAATACCTTTGAATATAACAATACAAGAGAACCCAAATTTGAATTTTGAGTCACAAAGTATCTTCAACTCTATCAGATAATTTCATACTGATTAAACAAAGCAAAATGCCAATGCTCCTCTCAAGGCAAAGATTCAAGGGCCTATTATGTCAAATTGTTTAAATGATTATGGTTCAAGGACAAGTCAGTCTTGATAAGGAATATCCTAACATGACTTTTTCAAGGGGATAACGGATTCTGGTTTCGATTTAATTAGACAAAAAATTTAATAGATTTGTCTACAAATCAAAGAAATGCCAACAATCAATTCTAATTAAAATTTTGCCAAGTGATAAAATATGTATCATAAAAAATAAATGACTTTCTTACAAGTGTGTTTCTCCTTTAAACCTTGGATAATTGCAATTTCTTATCAGACCAAAGATTAAGTGTTAAAAAAAGTTATGAAATCCAAAAATATTCTTTCTCTTTTATCAAATCCCAATGGAACCAGAAATACATTCACAAGTGTTATCATTATAAGTGTAAATGATTATATTTGTACATGCGTTGTATACATGTATCTGAAGTATATCTGAAGTGAATGCAAGATATATTTAGCTTGGCATTTTGAACTTTCACACATTCTCCCCCACAGAAATATTGGAAGACTTATATTATATAAGGTTGTTCCACACTTTCAGAAAATAATTGAAAAAATAAAAATTTTAAAATTTCAATTTAATAAAATATAATCATTTCTTACGTAATATTTATTTTGATTTTAAATAGTGTATTCTATTATAACAATGTACATATTCTCATACAACTTTGAAAACTATAATCCCTGTTCCCATTTCATTTACTGGTAATTATGATCATGAAAATTACATAAAAATATTCATCGGGCAGAACTACCTTAAGCATCAAATAGGAGGGTGGGGGGTTATAAGGATCAATGCATTGATGCTTGATTACTGCAAAACTATGTTGATACTGCAAGATAAGGAAGTAAAAAATACCATTTCTAATTTTCTGACCTCTTTCTAAGAACCACTTGCTGTTCTTAAAAGTACTTGTTTTTTCCTGGTGAGATAGAAACTATATGTGTAATGATGTATCATACATATGGACTTGTTTGGTCAGTTTGCAGAATTTAGCTAAGGTCAAGGTAACCCTGAAGTTGATTAAACACAGGACAACATAGCCCAAGGATGAAACTTTGACTCCCTTAATCCTTCAAGATCGGTCCTTCACTGCTTTCATAGCAGATCATGTATTTGTATGGGCTAATCCAAGAGTAATGCAATGAATTACTCTTGGGCCAAGGCTGAGTTTCTTCAAAGGAAGACCTCTAGTCTTGATAATAATTTTGATTACTCTAAACAGTGGTCAAATGGGCATAGATTGAAGTCCCCATAGGCCAAATCACAACATACGTTTCCAAATGAATGATTATCCCTGAAGAAAAAACACTGCATGATTTTATGTCATCAAAATGTTTGCAAAGTTTGTACGTGGTCACACTTTGAGTATACTAGACACATCACACATGGTCTGATGTAGCATCAGCATGTTACACTTCAATGAGTCAGTGATATACAGATTTGAGTGGTCAAAAGGGGACCATCTTTTGACAAGATCTCATTTATAACCTGACCGTTTATGTGTGTTAATAGAAGGGAGTAATATGGTCTGTATAGCTAAGAGACTTTTACAAGAAGAATCATTTGGAGATGAGATTGCAAATTTGCTAAAAGATAACTGATTAATGTGAGTGACACTGAGTTGATGTCACAAACCATGTACAATGATATAAACCATGTCAAAAAGCAGGTCATTTAGAATTTGAAATAAAACAAGAAAAACCTTTAACGATATTTACACATTCAAACAAACGATGAGGCATTTTAACAATATACTTTCCACCCACGTATGAAATACAGAATATTTGAATACAGCCTCTGATTCGATTAAACAAATTTGCACATGGTCAAATCATTCAGATTATTAATTTAAAGTTTTGCAAAATCTGAAGCCAGAATTATCACACTGTACTTAGAAAAAAAACACATAAGGAAACATACACCAAAATTAGTGAGTGAGGACATGACTTCACATTGCGGAATGAAGGTATGTTCCCGGGTATGTTCAATTAAGATTTATATGATCCCGTTTTTAAAATCAAACAAAACAGAATTTTGATTGAATGAATGTTGAAGGGGCTAAAGATCTTATGTACAGTGTAAGATCACAATTTTGTTACAGTGTTAGACCACAATATAGATCAACCAGCTCTTTTAAAAAGGTAAAATTATACGTTATATACCTCATATCTGTCTATTGTAAGCATAAAGCATGTGAAAGGCATTGCACATCCCACAATTGCATGAGTTGATGGCATCCCATACTCCAGTTCATAGCGCTTCTCCAATCGTATCACAGGTGGAGATGCTGGGCGGGGCCAACGTATCACATCCTTCAAACATTGTCCAAAATACATCATAATGCACCAGATTATCAAAACTCTGCGTATTACAAAACTGTCAACATTCCAAAACCAATAAGGCAAAAAAGTACTATAGAATACTTCATTCCCTAATGCTGCACCAAAGCTGAATAAATAGTATAAACTCCAGTGATCAATTTGCACTTTGTATAATTTGTCCCTTTGTTCATATTCTGAGTCGGATACAGACTGAGATCCAGAGTCACTTTCTTCTTGTGAACATTTATCTGTCAAGCCAGTATCACTATCAGGTAAATGCTTGTCATAATTGCCATTTTCAGAGTTTGATTTTCTGGATCTTAGATTGTATGGAGATGTGTGTCCATCCTGAGTAGGTTTTGATTTTGTTGATCCATTTTTGGTTTTTGAAACTTCCACTTCTCTCACTCCACATATTCTCTGAAACCGGACAACTAATTGTGGATCATTGAGAATCTCGAATGTCTTTTGAAGATTCGGCATCTTTTTAAATGTTCTAACACGCAATCGGGTTCATCTAAAGCCACTAAAACAGCGATAAACTGTAGAAATATCTTTCTTGACTTTCTTCCTTCAAACAAAACGGAAGTGACTGATGGTAGGTCACGTGACACTTTAACCTTTGACCATGGATAAGTGCATGTGCACTTTGAACAAAACAGCTGATCAGAGAACAGGTTCAGCTCTAGTAGATAGTAGATCTGAGGGGGTTGTGACCAAAATTATGATAACCCTGATTATAAGGACACCACTCAAGAAAATGGGGCATGGTCCAAAATTCAATATTTGCTCTCAAGTCCGTACACCAAACTTAGCCAAGCACTGAGACAGGTGAGGCTGGGAGGTAACTGCCTCAACAGCCTCACCAATATTTTATATCAATACATTTACAAAGAGAGAGTGTTTTGTTTTGGAAATGTAGTCCAAATGCAATATTATCTCCATCTATAGACTATTGACTCTAGCCTAAATTTGCCTCACCAATAAATTTTTGCCTCGTCTAATTTGATCCAGACTATAATGGAACATGATCATTATGCCTGTAAACAAGAAATGGAACATGATATTGAAGCCCTGAACATAATTGACCGGTATTTTTATTAACTGTAGGTGGAGTGACAATCATCATTAGAGGCACTTCTTGTGGGGACAACTGATGGGATGCCCTTTGATATTGGGGTTAGGGTCCAGATCACAAATTCCCTTCCGAAATGTTTTCCAAAGGAATTATATTTGTTAGTCTTGCATATAATAAGCCAGACTATACATTCCTACAAATTATGCAATCACAGTATACTACCCTAAAACTTGGGCTATTACCCTCATATTTAGGGCTGCATATGTAATAAACTCATGCACTACCTACAGAAGAGACATTTTGTTCAATATTTATTTCTCATTCCCAGAAAACTTTTTCTACACAGGTAATAACTAAAATGAGTGTTAATATTGATTTAAATTATAAAATAGGCTGCCTATTTTGCATTTGGCATAGGTGTGATGAAAAGGCTTTTTCCTACAGGGATACTACATTCACTACTGCCATCTTTAAAAGAACATTAGGACTAAATGTTGTTAAACCATCTCAAAAAGCATGTGGTATATGTATTCATCCTCTTAGGTGCTATTTGGGGCCTCAATGTCTCCAAAATAGTTTTCAGGAAAGGGGTCTGATTTTTAATATCCTATGCTCTAATAACCCATTGAATCTAAATACATTGTACACTAAGTCAATTCTCAAAAGTCATCAAATATGATCCAAATACCTTATCAAACCCAACAAAGGTAGTGAAATTGATCCAATAAATTCCCTATACTACTAGGCTATATGTTGGCAGACCAACACATAAAGCAAGATGGAGGTACCTGGTGAAGTCCCCATAATCAGTCCAGTCAAGCTGAAATCATTTTTCGACTTTTCCGCACAATCTCTTGATGGAGATTGCATAGCATTCTCCAGATACAGGGACAGGGTCATCTTGGTGGAGAATGTAGCATCTCTCTGAGGTAGGTAACAATGTTTTGTAGAATATAGTCTCAGATGTTTAACTTTCATTGGAGTTGCCTATTTGAAGTACAGCATGAAGTCGTTCACTATACATTTTTTTCTGTTGAGATCAACCTGTTTTATAAACTTTGTCATACAAAAAATTTCTTCTGGTCATTAAATGTACCCACATCATTTGAATTGGAAGGAATTCCCTATTATATGATTTAGAGTAAAATAAATAATATAATTATATTATGAGGCTTGTATACCATTCATGCACAACCAGATTCAAAAGTTATATCATTAGTCCCATTTTATGATTTATCTTATGATATCAAAGTCTATATAATAGTGTGAAAAATTAGTTTAATTTAATCATATGAACCATGGTCTCTAAATATGGTAATCGGTATATATACACTGTATTTTTCAGGTTTAACAACAAGGGAAATGAACCAGATGAATGAGTTGAACTTCAAGTTTGGGAAGGACCTCATAATTCTGGCATTCCCTTGTAACCAATTTGGACAGCAGGTAACACTTCCCCCTTCTAAGAAAATTCACGAACAAACATTCAGTCAAGCTTGAAGTAAAAGTAATCACTGTGTACAAAAATCACCATCAAGTAAAAAATAGATTGGGTGAATAAAATGTGACATGGAATTATGGGAAATAACTAAATCATAAGTGTTATTATTTGGAAAACATAATATTACCTCAAATAATAACTGCTAAGTGTTAACATCTTCCAAAAACGGTTCTATCTTAAACTTTTTGACAACTTGAGGTACATATATTAAGAGTATAAACAGAATGATTCTAACTCATAAAAGAAATCTGTCAATAGAATCAAATATTGATTCAAGACTTTTTGTTAGTTCAAATAATCCACTTATTTATGGCCCTTTGAGACAACATATAGGCTATTGTACATTCATTCAGTGGTTCTTTTAGACCTACATTTACACTTGTGAGAGTGATTCACTTAGGATAATATTCCGTATAACAATGGGTTCAACTACTTTGTAGAGAAAGTTGGGAATATATAGTCTATATTGTGTATTTTGCTCTTATGTTACTTTTAACAATTGTAAAGTTGGAGTTTAGGACCCTAGAGGGGGTTTTATAAGGATCAGAATGTATTACTTGATTACACAGAAATTAATTTCTTTACAAAGCCTTTTTTTATAAATATTCAACTTTGTATTCCCCAAAATTTGATGATGCAGTAAAACCTGATTTAGTGAACACATCTCTCTAGTGATTACACCTATCAACAGTGAATGTTTTTATTTGGCAAAACCTATTTCTCCCATTGACTCCCATGTTAAAGTACAATCCTACAGTGAACACCTAACTTCTGTGAACAGTGAACACTAAATCTTGGCAAAATCAAATGAATTATCCTGTCTCTAGTGAACATTCAATCAGATATAAGATTTCCCGCAGATTTCCTGCAACTGCCTGCCTTATCTGAGTTAAGCAGTTTATGTTTATATTACCTGCCAAAAAAAATTAAAAGGTCAATTTGAGATGTTGGATCTCCTCTTCTGTTGAAACAGGTGTGGATTATAATTCTTAATAATGAGCTTTGTTTTTGTTGTGTTAGACAGGATATTCGAGCATCGATTGCTTTTGGAATTAATCTGGTTAACTATTATTACCTCTTACTATCTGCTAAGTCACAACTTACTGTTAATCTTTTTCTCATCCCCATCAATTTAAATAACAGATTAGATTAAAATCAAAATGACCACCCTTAATTGACTCTATCCTGTCCTTTAAAGTAATTCACCTATGTCCTTTAACTGACTCAAATGTGTCAAGGACTTCACTTTAAAAGGATTATTTCAATGAGATGATAAAGAATTACAAAGAGATCAAAATTTGACAATAAAAGGATGAACCATTCAGATGAATTCTCTGCAAAAAAAAATGTTCACATAAACAGGTTTTACTGTATAATGTTTCTGTAAATTACACTCACCACACTGTACATGTAAGAATGGTTTCTATGGAAATGGTAGGGGATGGGTACATAAAAACGTATCTGATGAAAAAATAAAAGATTCAATACGCATATACAGGAAATAATCAAACATATTTTATTTCAGGAAAATGCAAATGGACTTGAGATTCTCAATACTCTAACACATGTGAGACCAGGGAACGGATTTGAGCCAAACTTTCCCATATTTGATAAAATAGATGTAAATGGCAAAAATGCTCATCCTATCTTCAAGTTTCTTAAACAATGCCTTCCATTTCCAAGTGACGACCCTATATCCTTTGTGAATGACTCAAAGAAGATCACATGGGACCCTGTAACAAGAAGTGACGTGGCGTGGAATTTTGAGAAATTTTTAATTCGCCCTGATGGCCAACCATACAAACGTTACAGTAAAAACACACAGACAATAAACATTACGAATGATATTAAGAGCCTACTAAAGAACCCAAGCAGAAAAAGCTGATAAAAGTTTAAACAAGAGATCAGTATATTGCTTGTACTATATGATAATCTCAGATATTAGAGATTAGCTAGTAGGGTCCATAGCCTATATGGATCAAGAGCAAATGGTTATTTCTTGCTTGATAATTCATTCTTTATTTTTTAAAAATCAGTGATTCAATGTGCCAAAGTTTTATCGTGATCACTGGGTTTCTTTTCATCACAAAATATTCTCTTTTGGAATAATTTATTGTTTTATATTTATTTATTCACCTTTAATTTCAATGTAATTTTGGATGGATTTATTTAAATTATGACCATCTTTAAATTATGAACACCTTTGAAATGTAAACACATCTAAAATGAGAACACCTCTCTAAAACTCATAATACATTTTGAGGGATCATTATATTGAATGCCATATTTAAACTACCAAGCTAGCAGAGCCATATAATGTGAACACCTCAGAATGGGAACACCTCTTAGAAGTGTGTAAAAACTGTATGTCAAATGTCAACAACATTCAAAAACACAATCAAGTAAACAAGTAAAATATCTAGTGATGCACTGAGCATCTATGAACCACTATTGTCACAGCAAGAGTTCTATAAATGTAAATATATCAGCAAGTAGGACTTAATGTCTTAGTGAACATAATGTATATTGAACCAATATAAGAGCATCCTTATTCTTGAGCATATCAAGCGATTGAAGAATGATAGCAGGAATATAAATACAGCTTAGTATTGTTTCTCCTTGATGAAATCCAATGCTCTTGTGTGCCTCAGAATAATCAGCCCTTTTTGCAGCACTTTGCTTGCTATGTGTTATTCAAATGTAGAGTAATTATTCAAAAATTGTCCCTTCATTAAAGGATATTTTGAGACTACAAATGCTTTGTGTGGAGATTTGCTTCATATTTGTAGTTATAATGGTTTGTTTTGCCACTGAATTATGTTTGTATCATCACAAGTATTGTTAGAAAATTACAAGTACAGTGTATATAGGATTGTAAATTTTACATTATTACAATACATAGAACAAGTTATTCAACAATCAACATAAAATATTGTGCCTCGCAATATCTGTTTCCCAAGGTGTGATATACTGACGTCAAGAGTGTCACATAGCCTAGATTCTGTATCATAGGCATGACAATAGAGGATACAATCAGTGATCTTCCCAGGATATTTTCTCAAGTGGGTGCAAAATTCTCATTTTCACAATTCAGACCAAAATTGGTCAAAATATGCCAATTTTTTCATAATTTTCCTCATTATCAAGTGGGTGCAAATGGATTTTCAGGTGGGTGCGAGCCTTTTTCCAAAATCTCAGGTGGGTGCTGTGTCCACTTGCTTTAATGCTGGGGAGATCACTGACAATATATATTGAATTTTAGCGTAATCAAATAATTCATGTATCATCATGAAGACAATGTATATTTAAAAAAAATAAACTAAACATTTTACATTATGAAATAATTATGTACATTTATTATACATTTATTATACAATACCGTATATTATTCCATAGTTAGCATGATATTCATTGGATAACATGTGAAAATAAAAACGGTATTTTTGTAATCAGTGGTAAAATGATATTTTTGACAAATTTTCACTTAACCATAGCATACGGTTTTTTAGCCATGACATACGACGTCGTATGCGATGGTTAATGGATTTTTGCTACTTCAGACTCAAAACGAGGCTAAGTGTCAACATCGCCGGATCGTTTGGAAAATTCGAATTAAATGACTTAATTTCCGACAATTCTGATGATGACTTTAACTATGGAATAAAAAGAACATCCTCTATTTATATACATGTTGTTTGCAGTAGAAAGCTGAAATAAAAAATACATGAAACAGGATTTTCTATGAGATATTTTGGGCTATAGTGGAACATCAACATCTAAATGAACTTAAGCCGTGTATAAGCTATCGACTAGCCATAATAGGCCATCATCCTAGTAGGCCATGATTATTATTATGTTAAATGTATGAAGAATCAAATGAATTATTGCTACAGAATTTCTACTGAATATAAACCCACACAATTTAAATATCTCTTGTAGAGTCCTGTGAAAGCATGTTGCGATAACAAAATAATGCACAAAATGACCAGAAAGTAGAAATTGTACATGTAGATTAGAAGGAACAGCATTTCAAGAACATAAAACTGACTGCATACTGCGGGGTTTTCATATAATTTTTAGGGTTTGGGGTTTTTCATTGATCAAACATTGTGCTTTTGAAAATGTTGGTTCATGATTACATTTTTTTAGTAATTTTCTAAATTCAAATAAGTACTGATACAATTGATGTTACCTTTTTGTATTCTTCTGCAATTTCCATATTTACAACAACAGCATGTTCATAGCTTAGGATACTACAGGATAGGAATACACACCAGATATTCATGTATAACAACTGTCAATTGTTGCAACTAATTGAGACATTTCATATCCTATGGGTCATAGCACATTACAATGTAGATGAAGCTCTCTTTTAAACAAGCCAAACAATACTATTGGAAAGGATGGGTATTTCACTTGAGACATATAGATTTTCTAGATCTCCAGCTAATTAGTTCCTTACATCCTGTTGTGATTAAACCTAATATGGTAGCGTCCATAACATGCTTGTCACACCAATATAACAAATACTTGTTAGATGTCAAAACATCATTCATACTATATGTCATATATAATATAGTACAATACAGTTGTGATTAAACCTAATATGGTAGCGTCCATAACATGCTTGCCACACCAATATAACAAATACTTGTTAGATGTCAAAACATCATACATACATGTACTTTATGTCATATATAATATAGTACTATATAGTTGAGATTAAACCTAATATGACTGATCATTGTCTTCAATATTCCAGACATCTGATTCCATATCAATTACATTTGTGCTTTTTCCATGAGACTTTCCCGCTGTCAGGAGTCTATCAATATTTATGATATAATCATTCTTTACTCTTACGAGAGTAAATGTTTCGGACAGCCTCTATATTATGGGTGTCCACTATCTGTTCTGTTTAGTTCAGAATCCATAGGGATCTATCATGAATCATTATCAACTTTTGCATAATGTTCTAGACTTCTACTTCCACATACATGAAGTTGTGTCAGCTACCAAAATCTATCTGTCCCGTTTAATCCAGAATCTTTCAAGATCTATCATAAAATCAAGTAATTAATTTCACTTCTAACTTTTGTTAAATGTTCTAGACTTTTGCCTCCACTTAAAGTGGTGTCCACTACCTAGACTTATCTGCTCTGTTCAGTCTAGAAGACATTCACACCTGTCACATACTCACTGTTAACTACAGTGATAATTTTTTCTAGACTTCAGCTTCACCATCACTAGTGTCTGCTACCAAAACTTCCCTGTTCTCATAGGTCCAGAATCCATTTAGGTCTATTAAGATGCTGACTACTGTATCACCCTGGCCACTGAAAATTGATTAAAAAAATCTTAGTAAATAAAAATACTCAACGAGCAATGAAAACTAAACATCATCACTTTCATGCTTTGGAACATGATGAGATTTATTTTGTAGTGTTTGCCCTTGACGTTATGGTTGTGTATTGTGATAATGCACCTTGAATGGTGTGAGAACTAAGGAAAGGTATTAGACATTGCTTCTTTTCATGTTGGATCATGGTTTTGGATAATTCATAGTATACTGTTTACATATCTGGGACACATGATTTGGACATCAAATGAAAGCTTGTATAACAAGGCATTAATATGCAAAATGTCACCACCTGCCACAGATGCTGAATGCCGACCACCAAACATCAACCACAAAACATCGTCCAGAAAAAAAGTAGAGTCTATAGCAATATTTCACTACTTTTGGTGGTAACATGAACATTTTTAAAGTGTTTTAAATAATCTAAAAATACAATTTGATTTAGAAAAATATTATACAATAAGACATACCTTATTATTAGGTCCTGCAGTGTGATCTTGAGCGGATCAGCAGGTTTTACCATATCAAATATCTCATCTTTCACATCTTCAAATGAAACAGGCTCCTGACCATGTACCTTCATCTGTTCTTGTATCGCCTAAACAAAGAGAACCATAAAGTATGTACATGTTTACAATGCAAAATGTTTAATATGGTTTCAATTCTATTTAGAAATTATTAAATTGGGTCATTTATTACATTTTATGGGTTATTATGGAGTAATTGTTGCTTCATATATTAATTAAATGCTCTACTTGATATGGTTTATAGGGGATTGTGTAGTGGTAGATTTTTTACATTTGCCTTTTGTGCTTTTTCATAGTAGCATCAATTTAAACAAGGCATTAACATGCAAAATGTCACCACCTGCCATTTGTTGCAGACACCGAATGCCCACTGCCAACCATGTCCACAAAAAGTTATGCTATATGAGTTCTTACCCTAAAGAAGAAGTTAAGGGCAAAGACATTTAGGTATCCACGGTTCTGTACATCCAATAGTCTGAATAAATACTGTAGAGACTGAGGCTCCTTCCTGTTCTCAAGAGCCAGAACAAAGTCAAGGTAGGTCTTGTAGTCCTGTAATAATGAACAACAAAGTAAAGATAGGATTATATATTCCTGAAATAATGAAGAATTAAAGAGAGAATCAGATAAAGCGAGCAGGCCAAACAAATTTTTTTTTCAATTTTTGAATATTTTTGGCTCATGTCATTCCTTGTCATGTGTATTTTTTAAAAATCACAAAAGTGCATACTTTATTCCAGGAAAACCAACGATTTTTACAATAATGTATTATTTTTCTATAAGAATCAAATCAAATATTATTTGGAAGAATTTAATAAACATTTTCACTCATTTTTGCACTTTGAATCATTAATAACTTCACCAGTTTATAATTGTGAATCTTTTGGGAGATATTGTATTTGATATTATAAGGAATAGATTGATAGGTCAATTATACATGTTGCTTGTAATTTTGTCACCCCTTATAGATCAGATTCTGCCTTTAAGTCTGAGAAGGATTGTAAGATTGGTCAAGGTAGGACTCACTACATGGAGGTCACCACTAGAAAATGTAGGACTGTTACAAAATTTCTCTATATCATTTATTGCTATTTTTACTGTTAATGAAAATTGTATGTTGGATGTACGTTTGACTTGAAAAGGGCATCAGCACAAATAAATCCTATTATATATATATTAGGATGGCAAATTTAAAGGCATGCAAATTAATTCTGAATCAGCCTTTTTTAGTATTATTTGGTCTTTTTAAGTATCACTTACCATTTCACCATCATATGTGAGACACTCCTGGAAGACCCGGTCAAGGAAGACATCAGTCAGGGTCCCAGTACCATATCTGCAACATACAATGTTTCAAAATAAGCTTATCACCACTATTTTTTGATTTTGAATGGATTCCATGCAAACTATACTATTTACCTTTAACTGGTTAGTTTACTTAAATTATCAAGTCTGAAGATGCAGTGGTGGATCTGGGGGGTGGGTGGTGGGCATGGGGCCTTTTGTGGTGCCAGAAAAAATTTTAAGAGCCCCAAAGCATCCTTAGACCCAGAAATTTTGTAGGGCCTCAAAAATGGGCCTTTTTGGCAAGGCCAAATTTTCAAAAAATAGGCCTCAGATTTTCAGAATTTTGGTTTTAGGGGCCCAAAACTTTTTCCGCGCAAGCGTGGAAAATTTTTACTGCCTCAAAATTTGGGCCAACCCTTGTTAGCTTCTGGATCCGCCACTGAGATCCTACAATAAAGTTTACTCTCCATTAACTTTACTATCCAGTGGTATATACCATCTTATCAGCAACATAATATATTGAAACAAAACATTTAAAACATTCGGTAAGATTCAAAGTATTTTCTATCTGCATTTGGGCCGTTAAAAGAAAGTGTGGTTATTCATAAAAAAAAACTCATAAATACTAAGCACCTGACATACAGACATTTGCATCTATACAGGAATATAAAGCCGACCTACGGCTCCATTGCACTCCATACATTAAAAATGCTTCGCTAGGTATGTAAAACATGTACTTATAAATATGTCTGTCAGTTGTAAAGTATGTGTCAAAAAAAATTGACATCTCTCAATTGGTGCAATGTTGTTCCCAGTATCTGATGAACTTTGTATAATAACAAACACTCAGAGAAGATTAATGAGGTCACATATTTTCCCATAAAGTGAACAATTTTTTATCAGTTCTCTAAGCTGTGCAAAGGAGTATAAGCCCAACAACATGTCTGAAGAACTGTATGTAAGCCCAGCAATCAAGCTGCCCACTTTGGATCAACTTAGGACAATCTCTAAGGATCTTGGTTTTCAACTTGCAGATGAAGATTTATTGCAACATCAGGGTGAGTAAGGAAATTAGAGGGGCTGGTTCAACATGTTCCTATTGGCAAGTGCAGTTAAAATGGATGGCTTCTTGAACTTATTTCCAAAGTGTCTGTTATGATTCCAGTTTTAAATTACTAGAGCAGGATGCAGTTCAGTCAATACCCCCAGGCTGCAGATATATGTGCGATAGAAAGGTTGAATGGTGAATGGAAACTAAAATAAAGGATATAGTGTGTTTGAAATTTTAATATACAATAAACCTAAAGTAGACCACCTTTGCTACCTTTTGCCAGGTGATCCCCTTAAAGAGGTGTTCCACTTAACAGGTTTCACTGTAATGTCAATTTTATTTAACCATAGGTTAATTTCAGTGAGCATATATTTATCAAAGTCGAAAAACGCATATGAAATGATGATGTCATAAAGGACAACAGCCTTATGGATTCATAACTCATGACTACTTGCAGAAATGCACTCTTTGGTCACACGTTCTTGCTCTTTATTTAAGAGCACACGAAAGGTGCCCAGAAGGCCTACCAAAGAGTCAGTGAGTTAGTAGAGCCTACACTAGAAGTGAAGTACCCTAGAACACCTGGATATCGTCCAACAAAACAGGACAATCCAAACAATGCTTGGTATGACAATTGACACTTTTAATACACATCTTTAAAAATAAAGAACAAGGTGCATTTCTTAAAGACAACCATATGGATTTCCCTCTACCTATTTAATTAGATTCATTGTCAGTCTTTTCCTGGTCCATTCCTTATAGATCATACATTCTACTTGTCACACCCATTTCTAGTTCAAGTTTCATCATCCATTGAATTTTATTATCATGAAATAAAGAAAACATGAAAAAATTGAAATCTATATACTCCAGTCTTCAAATGAACTACTGTTTTTAGGGCTTGGAGAACTGACATTCAAGGAGCGAAAGATGGGAAACTATATGGTAAGACAATAGCCATTAAGGATAGCATTGCAGTCGCTGGAGTGCCAATGTCAGATGGCAGTAAGATATTCCAGGGATATGTGCCTGAATTTGATGCAAGTGTTGTCACTAGAGTCCTTGATGCAGGTGAGACAATATATAACATATCAAAAATATCAAAAGAAGTAGTTGAATTACATATACGTATATTTGAATGCTGATTACTTTACGGGACCAAGTTGATGTAAAGCCAAAGTGAGGGGTCATGGGTTCAATACCCATTAGGGTGGACTCACTTTTTCACATCAGCCCTTAGCACAGGATTCATCCTGTGTTTTCATTAACCAAAGTATTCTATCACGAATTACTGATTTGAGTGTGAGATGACAAATAGACAAGATTAGACTGTGGACTACTCTGATAATTGCAACTTCCATTTTTCATGGAAGGTCACACATTCCAACATATTTCAAACAGTCTGTATGATTATGCTAGGCACTTTCTGGGTAGTTGGACTTCATGTAGGGGTGGCAGACGGCCCTCAGGCCAATTCATACCCCCACCCTAAGAAAACCTTGGGGGTACTTTAATACCACCTGATAAAAAGAATACTAATGCATGTCATATATTCATAGTTTTATAGTAGGCAGAGCATACCATGGTTAGTCAGTGCCAGAAATGTCCAATCTCTAACTTATATGGTTACCATGGAAACAGTATTTATATCTCAAAATCTTCTCAATTTGACCTCCTCCAAAATATGTCCCTTAGCCCTCAAAGTGAAATATTTGCAAATTTGTTTGGATTTTGTGGCTGCAACTTTGCCAAAAGTTGTATAAATATGTATATATTCACACTAAAGCACTAAAAAGTTGATATAATGCTCCAATAAATCAATAATATCTATCAAATATAGTCACACACAACTACTTTTAGGGAAAAGTGGGCGTGGCACTTTTTGGAACTTGTGTAATTGTTGCAGCATTAAGCAAAAAATACATATTACAGTAACAATAATTGACATTTAATTATCATTTACTAACATTGTGTAACATTGTAATATGTTCATTATCATTATTAGATACTTAAGATATTTTATGTAAGTGTTATCATGAACTTTCCTTTTATCCCTATACCATACAAGGTGGGCATCACCAATGGTGTCAAACTAACTTTTCTGTTTAACTTATTTTTTACCATAGACAAGGGAAAAAGCTTTACTTGAAGTCGTGACCTCATTAGGTGCTATGTATATGGATAGATGGATTGATACTAGTCGGTAGATGGCAGCACTTGTGCTAGTTGGGCTAGATACAAGTATTTACCATTGACTTGACATGTGTCACTTAGTCTATTGATTTACCATATTTGTTCTGTTGGATTAAAGTAAAACTGCATTTGCATTGAATTTGATGATGTTCAGATTGTGTTTGAAACTTGATGATAATCAGAAGTGTTTGAAACTGGATGTTGTTCAGATTGTGTACACATGAACTTTAATAGGACCACTGAAACAATAAGTCAATGTTTAAGATTCTTTAAAATTATCTCAATGAGAATTTAGCCTGTTAACCTATAGTTATACTACACTTCAGCAAGATTTCGAAGCTATATAACAAATCTCATAATTTGCAACTTTTTCATTATTTGATAATTTAACCCATTATTCTTTATTACTGATTTAAAAATTGCAAGGAATTCAAATAACCTAGGGAAGCCAGTGATATGAATTGGCCTTATTCATTGAGTTACATTAAAATGGAAAATTGTGAAGAACATGAGAACTGTTCCACGGCTTCACAGGAAATATGGAAGCAAAGTCAACAAGGGATGTGGGAACTAGGCTGTTAACATATAGAGATTTAGAACTCTCCAGGGAAGTGTCTCTATTTGGTATAAAATACACATGTCTATTCATGCACACCATTTTAAATATGAATCAAAATTAGTGATATCCATGTTTCTGGTGAAAGCATTAATTGAAAGAGACAAACCTCCTACCCCAATGGTATAAAATATAAGGAAGTTCGAAGCAGTAAAAAGGTATTACCATTTTAGATTTGATTGAACAAATTGAATCAGAGAAGCAATTTTTAAATTTCGATATATTAAAAGAGGCTCTCTTGGTTAGATGGGAGAATTAGCTGCATGTTAAAGGTGCCGCTTTGTTCAGTTTATAACAAAATTGATATTAAGCCCGAAACAGTAAGAAATGTTAAGCAAATATTTCATTCTATGGAGGGCAATACCTGTTCATCTTTCAATGATTTTTGCAATATGTATTGCCCGCAGCACGTAGGGCGATGGTAATACATGTTGCAAAAATCATTGAAAGTGCAGTTGTCAGAATCCCCAGGCGGGCAATACGCTGGACAATACGTCTTTTAAATAATTCAGTGAGCTGTGAAATACGCTGGTATTTTTAGTCACATGGATCTGCATTAGCCAATCAAATCACACGATTTATAGCAATGATGCAATAATTAGTGCTACTTCCATGAACACCCGTTTTGTAGAATAAGATTCTGATTCTCGTATTTGGTATATATATGAATTAGACAAAGGCAAATCCAGTCGAACATCTTGTTGAGCATCAAACAAAGGTACAAGCTATATATCATTTCTCAAAATGGCCACTTTACTGAAGAAATTGTCAAAAGATTATACGTATCATGTTTTAATGTATTTACATTTAAATATAGCTGTCTTAATAAGTACACATGATGAAAATACAGGCACAAACAAAATGCATACTTTCTGAAACCCTGCATTTGGATATTGATAAATTGAATGATATTGGCTAAAAACTTCTGTCAGAATTGAAACAATATTTCCCCAAGAAAAGTCAACATTTCAAAACAACAGCAATAGCCAGAACTATCCTATTTAGATGTTTACTTGACAGTATGGAAAATTGGGGAAGCCTGACAGAGAATCATAACAGATAGAGGTAGAAAGATTTGATAAAGAAAATGGAGTTTTGGTGTGGGAGGGGGGGGGGGGCGTGTAATTGTATACTTGTTTATAAAATTGATAAAATGACATATTCTAGACAAGGATAGGCATTTGCCATA